GTCATATCCTCTCCTATATTGAGGTTTTTAGATGGAGGGAGTAAGTACCATATTTTTACGGAATTGCTATTTGTCAGGTGATTGATTCTTTCATACTAACTCTTAGTCGATATTTTTTCTTAAAAAAAATACACGGTACAAAAGTAGGCGCTTATAACGTGCACACTAGTCCCTATAGATACATATATAAGCATACCCTATCCCTATAAGCACTTCCGAAATATTGGGTCGGTATATCTTGAGATTAATGAAGTCACTACGAACATCTCGCTATTGACGGGTATATCATCTACCACTAAAAGAATAATTAACCAAATACGGGCACCCGTATCAAGTTTAGAACTTGAATCCAGATGTGTTGGTTCCTACACAAGGAACCTAACCAATTGAATTACGCTCACTTCGCTCTTAGTCGATACTTAAAGCCCTTGGATTGTCCATCCTTTCTGATTATTATTATTTATCCAACGTTAAAAGAAAAGGTAATAGAGAGTTTTGTTAATTTCAGTCACCTGATGTATAGTCCGTACCTATTTTTCATTTTCAATTTTGATGTTTTCGTGGTATGAGAAAGTAGTACTCCCTCTGTTTCATATTATAAGTCATTTAACTTTTTTTTAAGTCAAACTTCTTAAAGTTTGATCAAGTTTGGCGAAAAATATACTAGTGTTTTCAATAGAAAACAAACATATTATGAAAATATATTCAATGTTCAATTTAATAAAACTAATTAGCAAGGGAAAAAATGACTATTTACCCCTAATTTAACACCGTTAACTCACCTTAACGGAATAGGGTTAGATAGCAGGTTTGTTTGTAAAAAGGAGGGTCAAATAAGCAAACTAGAAAAAGTAGGGTCAAATTGGTAGTTAGACTTTAAAACAGGGTTAAATAAACAATTGCCCCATATGAAATCTATTAATTGTACCTTCCAGGTTCAAGACTCATAAATAACACAGCATGATATAATGATGATGAGAACAACGAATTAATACCTCTGGACCTGCAGATGATTCAGTTGCACCATGTAAAGGAAAGGGGATCTTGTGCCAAAATGTGACATGCCATAAAGCAGCTTAAAGTATCCAGGTCGAATGTTAGTTGTTTCTTTCTCTCTCGCATCTACGCGTGTGTAATCGTTAATTCTCGAAGCTAAGCATCCATGGATGATTCTCTGTCAGGTTACTGTAGAACTTTCCACACGTGAAGTTCTCGTCCACTTAAACCACTAGTCCGTGTCGACAATCACATCGACTCCTCACTATGGCACTAACTAGAAAACCACATTAATTAGAGTAGAAATTAATTAATTGTTTTTTTCATAGTGCAAGCCTTTTTTTTTACATATTTTAAGATGTAGAAAACTACATGTTCTTTTAGAGGAAAAAAAGCTGATACACTCAGGTAACTAAATAGAGATTACATGCCAATTTTAAGTTAGTTCAGATGTGAATGGTCCATAATTTAATATGATCACTTTTGCAAATCTGTGTTCAGTTAATTTAATGACCCAGTTGCAGAAAGAGGACATAATATCCCTTGCCCTCCGGTGCAAGCTAGCTACGACACAAGAAGCTTATCAAGTTTCATTTCACATCTAAAAAAAATGTTCCAATTCAGGTCAGGAAAATTGTTAATAATGGCTACTTGTACGACTTGGATTTGACTCATTATATCGTAGACAATAAATCCCACTGTTTATCTCCAAACTAACCTGTTATTTTGAGCTTAATAATGGAGCAGCAGCCTAATCCTTCATCAGCCGGACAGCTGACTGTAGAAAAAAAATATATATGAAAAGGTAGCTAGTCTATCACCAGGATTATCTAATTAATCGTATCACCAAGATAATTAACATATCTTGCTTAATCGTGCAAGTTAATTAATTTGGTCCCTGCAAGATAGACTCCTCTGTCAAATCGATCGATTTTGTATGATTTCTGATTGCCTTTTGGACGTTGGTGGGTGTGTTGATGGTATATATGTTTGCTTTTTCACTTGGTGAAAGGATCGGAGATAGCTTGGCTTTATTTATTTGGCACTATCTCGTTGGTGTGAAAATCGTGTTTCCCGCGTGCAAATATTCAAGTTTTTCTCCTTAAATTTGAAAGAAAATGATTGTGTTCTCGAGTGACTTGTTAAAAGAAGGGATAGCTTCTAGCACAATTAAGATCCGATGCCTGATTTGTTGTACTTGATTCGCTCACATAAATGGACAACTTGGATAAGGGTACTGCTAAAATGGAAGAGACCTTTAATCTGAATAAGACTTTGCACTTCAGAATGTTTCCTTGTTCTTTATTCGATCTGGAGAATACGTTTGTGGCAGATAAAAAAGGGAATTAATGGCGCCAAAATAAATCTTATTAGGCCCCATTTAAAATAGAAATGAAGTCGTGTGTATAAAATTTCTGTGAAATTCTGTAAAATTCTTACATTTCGAATAGGGTTGTAAGGATGATGCACTACAATCTAAGAGATAAATTGCGGTCTAAGAAAAGAAAATTTTGATAAATGGGACTGTTCAGGTTCTAAGTACAGTGCTGTCTTGAAACATATGAGATTGCTTTGGTTTCTTGCTCGGCAGCCGAACAAGGCCAATGCTCTGACCTCCCTCTTATTTGATCTTCCTATCTCCTAACTTACCATTTCCAAGAAAATGTTAAAAGTGAGCAAATCTTATTGCAAAAATAACAAGTTCTAGGCTACTAGCACTAAAAATAACAAGCCAGCATCACGTGTTGTCAAGCCACGGCTGAGCCGCCAAAGCAATGCCCCGTTGTCGCTACAAAGAAGTACACATATCAAAATACAATGGTCGTCGCCGTCAACATAGCCCCAGCCTAGCTAACTCATTGCTTCCACTGCACAAAGAGGAGAGGAAAAAGGAATATACCCAAGTTTTTTTGAAAAAAAAAATGAAAGGAAAAGGATGGCCAAGTTGGCAGCCGACCTGATGGTGTTTCTGTCCATTCGTTGCTTCGCTGTGCTGCTCAACGTACGTCTGTGCCGGTCAAAAGGGGCCAGCCAAGCCACCAAGTAAGCAAGCGAGCATGTGTGTGGAATGTGGCCGTCCAGCTAATCCTTGGACCAACAGGGAGAGTAGTGATAAAAAGGAGGCGCCAAATTAGCTGGCTTTTCGGCTTTTCGAAAAGCTAATAAGAATAATTAAGCAACACTCAGCCTGCGGTACAACGGCTTGGCAAGCGTGTTTGATTTAGCGCGAAAAACTTTTACAGCGGCACGCCTCGGTTCAACGTGGCAACTAGGGGTGCAATTTTGTTTTTTTTCTTTAAAAATGAAAGGATTTGGGATTATGAAACCTTAGCAACGGTGCAATACTTGTTAAGTTGTTGCACTGAATTGTGGTGTAATTCGAGGTTGTAGGCACAAATGTCACTCCATTTAACAATTGTTGCATGGAATCGTTTAGTTTGAAAGTTTTCATTTCATCGAACGTATTTGTTTAGTTATTGTGCACATAGCTTGTTTTTTAAAGGTTGAGGATTATTGCCTTTTTGTTGTCATATTTGACCAGTATAACCCTGCTAACGAAACTGAGGCACAGGAAAATGGCCGCTTAAAAAACCACGAGTATGTGTTACAAAAACAGTGAGTTGTGGTTCAAAAGGCATCTAAAGCATGCGTGAAGCTAGTGTGGGTGGCACCTCTTTTTTGGATCATCAACTAACAAGCCTCACAAAAATAAACACCGGAATGGACTCACTCAAAAAGTAGAAAAGAACTAGAAGGATTAATCAATGTGCGTGTACATTGGTTTTTTCAATTCCCACATGATACTTCTCTTTTCATTGATAGCTTTAAGGACAACAATCCTATGGGAAATGGTTAAGACCTAAGGTGATATTCTATCTAACTGACGAGTGACTTGACAACTAGCTCATTCTCAATGTAACTATTTCAATTTTGAGTTGTGAAAACCACAATAGTTATGGTAAGGCTCCAGCTTAAATCAAGACACCGGAAAAATGTTTTCACATTTTAAGAAGATATCTCCTTATTTTTCTAAAATGCAATTATAAAAGATGTTTTCTCATAAAACCTACACTCCATGTGTTTTTAGAGCCAAATGACGGTTCCCCTCCTCGTGATAGCGTCACTCCCTCTCTTCTTGGCTCAAATAGAAGAGGCGGCAGGGGCAACCTCGAATCCTCCATAGTCCCTCTCAATTTAAAGGACTTATATTTTTAATTGGATGACATCAACTTCCACTCTCATGGTATGCTGCTAGCCTATACTGATGAGTGATGACTCGTTGTATACATGTGATTTTTTCTTGCTCTCATCTCACATTGTTACATGGCTGATCAAACATGATGACAGATTGTCTCGAACATTCTTGAATCCTACCTTGCGCGAACTATTAACAACTATTGTCGTAAAAAAAAACTGGGTTAACATATCTTTCGATTGACGAAACTATTATGGACATCTTGTTGTCGACGGGTATATCACCTATCACCGAAAGAATAATTAGCCATAAATAAAAGTACTTGTGTTAAGTCTAGAACTTGAACCCATGTGAGTTAACAAGTTTTTTTACTCATATGCTCCCACAATCCATCTCGTCAACCTTTCGGGACAATAATCTTTTTAACTATATATTTTTTTATTAAAATTACAACCCTAGCTTTGTCAATGAAAATACTCTCATATTTTTTTTATCATTATATCATAACATAAGGCGTGAAAATTACTCCCTAATGTTCAAAGGCATGCCCCGGAAGAACTTGAAAAATCATAAAACGACATGTAAAAAAAAATTAAAAAAAAAAGAACGGACACGGTGCGCGTTCCGCCACTTTCAATCCTGAAAGGTGACAAAGTGAGAAGCAACTCGTGAAAGCCGTCAAAAAAGAAGACGCACGAGGGAAAAACCAAGCAATTTTTTTAAAATTCTTTTTTTTTAAAAAAAACAAGAGGAATCCGAAATCTGGGTAACTATATATTTTTGCCGCAGCAGCGACAATAGCGGGAGAAGAGTCGTGGCTTCCTCGCACAGATAAAAAGGCGAGGAGGCATTTCCCCGGTTTCCTCTCTGTCCGGGTCCAGGCCAGCACGAACTACGCCCACAACGAACTTTTAGCTGTGTTTAGCTTAAGCCACCCACCACTCGCACTCGCGTACGTACTCGTCGCATGTGAGTTAGCTTTGGTCGCCGGCATGGCGCTCACGGCGGCGGCGGCGAGCGGCGGCGACGCGCACGACGACGAGTACGCGAAGCTGGTGCGGGGGATGAACCCGCCGAGGGTGGTGGTGGACAACGAGGCGTGCGACGAGGCGACGGTGATCCGGGTCGACAGCGTCAGCAGCCACGGCACGCTGCTCGCCGTCGTCCAGGTCATCGCCGACCTCGGCCTCGTCATCCGCAAGGCCTACTTCTCCTCCGACGGCAGCTGGTTCATGGACGGTCAGTCTCTCGCCGCCGTTTCTTGATTTGAGTTTCTACTAAATTCTAACCCTTGAAAGGAAAATTCCGCAGTGTTCAACGTCACCGACCGCGACGGCAACAAGGTGCTCGATGACCAAACCATCTCCTACATCCAAACGGTACTAGTGCTGTTCTTGATCGAAATTTGGGGATTGAATTAATTTGTTTGTTGATTTGTGGTTTGGTTGGTTGATTGATTTTTAGACGCTGGAGGCGGATGACTGGTACTACCCGGAGGTGAGGAACACGGTGGGGATCGTGCCGGCGGAGGAGTACACGGTGATCGAGCTCACCGGCACCGACCGACCGGGGCTCCTCTCCGAGGTGTGCGCGGTGCTCGCCGGCATGCGCTGCGCCGTGCGGAGCGCCGAGCTGTGGACGCACAACACCCGCGTCGCCGCCGTCGTGCACGTCACCGACGACGGCGGCTCCGGCGGCGCCATCGAGGACGAGGCCCGCATCGCCGACATCAGCACCCGCCTCGGGAACCTCCTCCGCGGACAGAGCGGCGTGCGCGCCGCCGCCGCCGCCGCTCCGGGCGGGCTCACCCACAAGGAGCGCCGCCTCCACCAGATGATGTTCGACGACCGCGACTACGACGGCGGCGGCGGCGCCGCCTCCTCCTCGCCGCGGGGGCGGTCCCCGACCCCGGCGACGGAGGTGTCCGTGACGCCGTGCGCGGAGCGCGGGTACACCGCGGTGGTGGTGCGGTGCCGGGACCGGCCCAAGCTGCTGTTCGACACGGTGTGCACCATCACCGACATGGGGTACGTCATCCACCACGGCGCGGTGAGCAGCGAGCCCCGCGGCGGCGCGTACCAGGAGTACTACATCCGGCACGTCGACGGCGACCCCGTCCGCTCCGAGGCGGAGCGGCAGCGCGTGGTGCAGTGCCTCGAGGCCGCCATCGAGCGCCGCACCGCCGACGGGCTGGCGCTGGAGGTCCGCACCGGCGACCGCGCCGGCCTCCTCTCCGACGTCACCCGCATCTTCCGCGAGAACGGCCTCACCATCCGCCGCGCCGAGATCTCGTCGGAGCGCGGCGAGGCCGTGGACACGTTCTACCTCTCCGACCCGCAGGGCCACCCCGTGGAGGCCAAGACGATCGACGCCATCCGCGCGCAGATCGGCGAGGCCACGCTGCGTGTCAAGCACAACCCCTTCGCCGACGGCGATGGCGCCGGCGGCGGCGGCGGCGGCGCCACCGATGACGTCGCTGGCTCGACGGCGTTCCTCTTCGGGAATCTCTTCAAATTCTACCGGCCGTTCCAGAACTTCAGCCTCATCAAGCTCTACTCCTAATTAATTTACTCCAACCTGGGTTAATTAATTAGCTGTAAATAATTACTTAGTTAGTTAGTTTTATGTTTTTTTCTTCTAGATTTTACTGTAAATATGATTTCAGATTTATGACGACGACGAAGATGATGTAGGCTGGGTGGTGTAAATAGGTTTACACATGGTACAAAACATAGGGGGAAAGTTAATTCAAAATTTAGGTCAGGGAAAAAAAATCATGTAGGATTAGTTTCATCAGTATACTGGCATTGGGGGTATACAGTCGCTGTAAATATTCCATCTTGTACATGTATTCATGGAAGGAATACAAAGAATGAAACAAAAGCTTGTAAATATTTCATATGCATTTGCAGTTTTTTCTTAATTTGATGAAAAAAAGTACTCCAATTTGCAAGATTTTTAGCTGCTTTTTGTACTATATGCAAAAGAATTACTGTAGTACAATAGTATTAAAGCACGCGAGCAGCAGGTCTGCGTAGATCGAGTCGTTGAGTGATACTAGTACGAACAAGTTGAGCTAAACAACAAGTAGCAAAGGTACAAAAGCGATGGATCATGGAAAGGTTAGGCCATGCCTGTGCAGCCTGATGCTGGAATCATGGAATAATTAGAAATCGAATTCCAGGGACATGCGTGTTTGGCTGAAATTGGAATTGCAGGCAGTGATATGGAAAACTCGATTTCAAGAAGGTTCGACATCATACGAGCGGAATTCGATCAGCATAAGCATGATGATCGGTCACTGATTTTGAAGTTTCTATTTCTTACAGCTATAATAAACAATGGTTAAACAGTTTCTTGCCAACCATCGATATAAGATATCTTTTGTATTTTATTTTAAGTTGGTGATCTTTGTTGGTTGTGTTGGCCTGCCTTTTTTATTTTTTGCTGCGGCTGCAGCTGTGGGTGGGTAGCCACGGCTGTGCACCACAGCCGTGTACACTGCGTCCATCAGCAACAGCTGTTTGAAAACTTACGGTCAAACACACTCGTAGTTTTCTTATTTTCAAGTCAAATTGTGATTTTGTAGTTCGCATTATCTTTATCTACAACATTTGTATTAATTGGTTGTAACTTTTATTTGTATTAATTGGTTGTAATTTTTTATGAAGCAAAGAGTAAAATGAATTCCATTATATAAAAACAAAGGGACATAATAACTAGCTTTATTATTTTTATATAAAAAATGTTGTGCGGTTGGAGGAGAGATCGTTGCAATGTTCATTTCAGATTATTGGATTATTTACTTTATGCTTGAAATAATATGTTTTTTTAAAAAAAACACTTTCTTCTGCCATCTTGTTTAGACCGGTTATTTTAAACTATTTATTAAATTTATTTCTTATAATATTTAATTTGTCTGTATTAAGTGGATAGTCCGTAGCAAATCTGCTCCTGCTCAATAACAGATCAGTCTTCTTCTCTTGCAACCCCGAGCCTGATCCCATCCTCTCCATCTTTTTCATATGATGTTTTCGTTTTCTGTACGCACTTAATTTCTCGCTCCGTTTAATTTCATATATAATTGGTTGCTTGGCTTGAGAAATGGAACCATGTACGTTGGTCGATGGGTGATCGTTATTTTCAAATTCGGTGAAACAACTCTATAGTCTTTATCTTTCAACTTGATATGTATACTTCTGCATAATAGGAGTAAGAATGATCTATCATCTCAAACCCCCATCCATTGGAATTGCAAGGAGGGCCCAAAACAGTAACTCCTATTCTAAAAAAAATAGCAGTAATCTAGAATTTGATTAGACATATTATATTACTATGAATCTTGTTAGGAATACAGGAAGTAGTAATGTGTCTAATATGGTTTTATGTTGCTGTATTTTGGGTCGTGCTAATACAAAAGTTACTAGCACCTGATTGCTGGCCCATGGAGGCACAATTTTTGCAGCCCATCAAGTGAAATTTTCTTGCCCTGCATTTTGGGCCCAATACCTGGCGCATGTCAACCAGTTCTTACTCCAACTGGGCTGGGCTTCTTAACGAACTGATTGACAGCATCTGTTTAACTGCAGTTTTCGTAGATTTACTACTTGTATTATTCTAATTAACTGTATGTATGTAGTTGAAAATGTAGCTATGGGAAATGCAAATAATCATGCTGAAGAATCTTGAGCACTTAAGCAAACAAAAAAAATCACATATAAAGAGATCATCTTTATTATTGCTACCTTCATAGGTTATAAGACTTTTTAGTATTATCCACATTCATATAGATGTTAATGAATCTAAACAACATATATAGATTCATTAATATATATATGAATATGAGAAATGATAAAAAGTTTTATAATATAAAATGGAGGAAGTAGTAGGAGTTAGATAGCACGCATTTCTTCTACTTGCCGGCCGCCGCGCGCTGCCCCCTCCTCGCCGGCAACGGCAATGCCGTCGTTGCTGACCTCCTCGCCGTCGTCGACGGTGCCGGCGGCCGCCAAGTCGTCGTCGTCGTTGCTCGCGACGCTCGATCTCGACGGCGCCGAATCGGCCACCTCCGCCTCTCGGGCGGCGGACGGCGGTGGGAGGTCGTCGTCGTTGATCACCACGGCCGAAGATAGCTGCCGGCGCCCTACCGTCGCGTTCTTGTTCGAAGCAGCATCTCCGCCGCCATCGCCGTCGCCGCCGATGACGAAGGGTCCGTACCTGACGACGAGGCCGAGGTCGGGGATGTCGAGGACGTAGGTCGACGGCGACGGCGACGGCGCGGCGGCGCCGCCGCCGCCGCCGTCTGGGTAGAGGTGGCTGAGGAAGAGGAGGTAGTCCGGGTCGGCCTGCGCCCTCGTCGCCTCGTCCAGCTCGTCGGCGGCGGAGCGGCGCGCCGGCGCTGCCATGGATCAAACAGAAGAAGAGAGGGAGAAGAGGTGTTCTGAATAGATTGTGTTTACACATGTGAAGAGGTTGTTATATAGACGAGTGTCACACAAATGGGCGGAGCAATTGGCGATGCAAACTCCATTAAATTTTAATATCGATGCGTAAATCGATGATAAAATTAGTAAATATTTGTTATATTAAAATTTGCTCGGGTTCAAAAATCTTTAACTGTGTATACACATACTCCCTCTGTCTTACCTGATATGATATCCGGTTTTAAATTTATTATTTATGGATGCAGAGAGTAACACGTAGGGCCCCTTTGAATCGTAGGAATGGAAAAACAGAGGAATAGAAAAAACGTAGGATTCTATCAGGAATGCAGGTGTAAAACAGAGGATTGGAAAATACAGGAAAAACACAGGAATGACCGTTTGATTGGACTACAGCAAAAACGCAGGAATCGGATGAGAGAGATAGACTCAAAAGAATTTTTCTAAGAGGTTGGACCTCTTGCTAACTTTCCACTAAAATCTCTATAGGATTAATCATTCCATAAGAATTTTAAAGGATGGTATAGAATTCAATCCTTTGTTTCAAAGTCTTTCATAGAAATTTTTTTATAGGATTAAAATTCTTTAAATTTCCTACACTTTTCCTACAATGAAAGGTGCCGTAACATATAGACGATCGATGTGACAAAAATTTTGGACTCTAGCTAGCTTTCTTCCTGTTGCCAACTTTTTTTGTTTACGTGCCAATGGGAAAAGGACCTATGCGGCCTACTCATGTTTGGGGAAGAAGCCAACGGGTATTTTTTTCGTTTATAAGTGGACATCCACTCATGTTGTATACTCCCTCTGTTTCAAAATGTTTGACATCGATGACCATGTTTGACACCGATGACTATTTAGTACGTATTTGACCATTTGTCTTATTCAAAAAAAATTGAGTAATTATTTATTCTTTTTATATCATTTGATTCATTGTTAAATATACTTTTATGTACACATATAGTTTTACATATTTTATAATTTTTTTAATAAGATGAACGGTCAAACATGCACTAAAAAGTCAACGATGTCAAGCATTTTGAAACGGATGGAGTATGTCGTTTAGAAAGTGTTAAAAACTTAGAAAATAATATAATATTGTACCGTTCAAATTCAACTTAAATAACTATAAATAAGTGTTAAAAACTCATTACTCCCTCCGTCCTATAATATAAGGGATTTTAATATTTTGTTTACACTGTTTGACCACTCGTCTTATTAAAAAAATTTGTACAGATATAAAAAATTAAAAGTTGTGCTTAAAGTAATTTAAATAATAAAGAAAGTCACAAATAAAATAAATAATAATTTAAAAAAAACTTGAATAAGACGAATGGTCAAATAGTACAAGTAAAATATCAAAATTCCTTGTATTAGAGGGACGGAAGGAGTAATAAAATTGACTACGAGCATTATCTTGTAAAAGTATTCTAGGATACTAAAACAAGGTGTGTTCCCTTTGGGAGAACTTCCCCCGGAAAAGATAAAGTCCAATTAATCATCATTCCTTGAGAGACCGACGTCGCGACGAGACGACGCGAGGATCGATTGGACGCAATATCTCTGCGCTCCGGTGATATGATCTCAACATGATCGCATCGATGTGACGACGTCATCATCAATCCCAGCTTCCTCCCTGTCGCCGTCGATGGCCGGTCACCCGTCCGTCAGCAGATTGAGAAGTTGGAGTCTTTTATATATTTGTACAGTAGTAGTTGTAAAGCTTTTGTTTGGTTGCAGCCTTTTGTCTCTCTCCCGAGCACAACGAAGAGAGCATATTTTGTTGCTGACCGACAATTTCCTTTTACCTGTAGTATTACTGATCGACAATTTTATCTTAATTAAGTTTTAACTTTTAGCCTTCCATACATATGGTGTTCAAATTATTAAGAAAAAGAATTACTTCCTCCGTCCCAGAAAATATGTCGTTTTAAGGAATTACACACAAATTAGTGTTCAGCACAAATGACTAAATTACCCTCAATTATTAGATTCAGCTCCTATTTGAATACAGCCCAGAATGTTTCACACAATTACAACTATTGCAGTAAAAAAATGAATCAACCACATACTGAATGCCACGTGGGATTTACAGAGGTAAAATGACGCCAAGGCCACAATGACCATACAGGAGAAAGCAATCATTAGCCTAATTCAAACATTTGAATCAGCCAATTAAGGATGCTTTGGCGCCTAGTTCTACCCTTCAATATTCCATAAGCCCTGAAGAGACCATCCATTCTTTATCTCAATCCATTCCATCTCCCTACTATCCAACCCACAGTCCTGGAAGACCATCTTTTACTTCATCTCAATTCACTCATCTCCCTGTAATCCAATCCAACACCACACATATGAAAATGGTTACAGATCTCAATTTACCGCCAGAAGAGGAGGGAGATGGAGGAGCTTTACCTAACCTCAATGGAGGAGAAGCTGATATGGAAGAAGATGGAAGGCTTGCTGCTGGCCAAGGAGATAACCTTGATCAAGTTGAGTGGCAGGCACATGTACATGCTCTACATGTTTTTGATCTCAACCTACATCCTTTTGATCTCAACTTTGAGGCTACAGAAGAAGAAGAACAAATACATCTAGGTAAGTTGATTTACAGCCTTTGATTCAAGGCTTTAGTTTCCAAGGCAAGCATAATATTGTGTAGACTGCTCCATTTCAGTTTTGCATTCAATAAAGAGTTCTTATCTACTTAATGAAGACTAAAATGACAGGATTAGGTTATACTCATCATTTCATTTCTGGTAAACACAAAAGTGTAAATATACATGTGAATAGATAATGTTTTTCTTAGTGGAACAACTGCTGATGCCATGAAAACTTTTTCTCACACTTTCCTCCATCTGAAGATATCCCATGAACTGATCAGTCAACATAGCTAATAAAAAGATGCATGGGCCTGGGTTCCAATGTTATACAGAAACATTAAACTAAACTAATGAAACTAGATTGTGACTTGGTGAGCTATTTCCTAAAGCATCAAATACAAATTTATATTTGCATAGGTGAATGAACAGTAGAGATTTGAAAGCGTGAACATTACCTTGGGAAGCAATTGTGGAGAAGTCTTGCAAATAAATTTCCTGCAAAAAGAAGAAAAACAACAACTTAATGACCATATGAAAGTTAGGGGTTGAACCATATCACTGTTACATGAAAATTATGTGGAGAAAACATAACTTTAGACCCAAAATTGTTTTTTTTATAAAACTATTACTGCCCATACAAACTGGTGAGCCTATCAACCACCCCAAATATCATTTTTGCAGAGTTTCTGCCTCACATCAGAGAGAAACAATAGTACAATAGACAAGTATGTTTGCAATAACTATCGTTAAATATTGGAAAGGAATTGAATGGCAAAGCACGTGCATAGCTATATCAAAATACTTTTTTGGGGAGATACATCACAATATTCAGACTAAAACCAGCAACGAAAATTATTTATGGGAAATAAATATAAGACTGCAATGGTAATAAATATAACATTTGATATCTTCTATCATTCAGCATAGGAAAGATTTCAGATTTTTCAGTAACTACTTCCTCCGTTTCATAATGTAAGTCATTCTAGCATTTCCCACATTCATATTGATGTTAATGAATCTAAATAGATATATATGTCTAGATTCATTAACATCAATATGAATGTGGGAAATGCTAGAATGACTTACATTGTGAAACGGAGGGAGTAGCATGTAATTTTGACACATATAACATATAACTTTCTTCTTTTTTTTTGTAAACATAGAGTTACACAATTACAAAAGCAGAAAGCACATTGCCATGAAAAATGACTCAAGTAGGCAAGATCAAGTGCACTAACCAGCATGTGATTTTGACAGCTTATGACCACCAACACATGGAGCACGACCTGCATGTCAATGCACACGTATATGAGGAACAACAACAAGTTGAAGGTAAAGTTCATGACTTTTTTAGCAGTTAAAGGTTGTATAAAGTCTTGATTTCATAAAATTAAATAAATGTTCACAATCTGATTAGCGCACATGAACTTACCATTTGAAATAATTTGTAGATGGTGATGATGCTTTGCAACTTGAGCTGGAAGCATTGGAGAACTACCTTCAAGACTATGGAGTGTACGCTGATGCTGTAAATGTTGTCTTTGATGTAGAGGAGTTACCCAACTCACATGAGGTTCAACATGCAAATGGAAATGAGCGAAGTCAGTCAAGAGATTTGAAAAACATGGAAAGGTGAGCTATTTATGCAAGGTTGCTTGAGAAAAGTATGAATGAAAAATTAGAAAAAGACACCACAAGTATAGTTGCTCGAGAGTTCCATGTCAGCATCCGTACCGTCCAACGTATATGGAAGAAAGCAAAGGTTTGCCGTGAACAGGGAATAGCAGTGAATGTTGATTCAAGGAAGCATGGGAGTTCTGGGCGCAAAAAGGTTGAAGTAGACTTATCACTTATAGCTGCTATTCCATTACAGCAAAAGAGTAATATACGGTCACTAGCACAAGCCCTAGGTGTTCCGAAAAGCACATTACATAGGTGGTTCAAAGAAGGGCTGATACGGCGTCACTCTAACTCACTAAAGCCTTATTTGAAGGAAGCAAATAAAAAGGAAAGGTTGCGGTGGTGTGTTTCTATGTTAGATCCAAGCACATTGCCAAACAGCCCCAAGTTTATTGAAATGGAAAATATTATCCACATAGATGAGAAATGGTTTAATGGCTCAAAAAAGGAGAAAACTTTCTACCTTTATCCGGATGAAGAGGAACCATACTTCACAGTTCACAACAAAAATGCCATTGATAAAGTAATGTTCTTAGCAGCAGTTGCAAACCCTAGGTTCGATGATGAGGGTAACTGCACTTTTGATGGAAAGATATGTATTTGGCCTTTTGTTAGGAAGGTAACATATCCTTCTTACAAGTGCTATTCACATACACTTATTTATGGTATTTATTTATTAATCTAACTTATTTCATATACTAACAGGAACCAGCACAAAGGAGAAGTCGTAATAGAGAAAGGGGGACACTAGTGACCAAGCCAATTAAGGTTGATAGAAACACCATAAGATCATTCATGATATCTAAAGTGCTGCCAGCTATTAGAGCATGTTGGCCTCGAGAAGATGCAGGAAAAACCATATGGATTCAGCAGGATAATGCTAGAACTCATCTCCCAATCAATGATGAGCAGTTTGCTGTTGCAGTAGCCCAAACTGGACTTGATATTCGCCTCGTGAATCAGCCTCCAAATTCCCCGGATATGAATTGCCTAGATCTTGGATTCTTTGCTTCACTTCAGTCCTTAACATATAATAGGACATCTAGAAACATGGATGAGCTAATAGAGAATGTTCACAAGGAATACCGTGACTAAAATCCAACTACTCTTAATAGGGTATTCCTTACACTACAATGCTGCCACATTGAAGCCATGAAAGCTAGTGGAGGGAATAGGTATAAGATCCCTCACATGAACAAGGAGAGGCTAGAGGCACTCGGCATTCTACCTAAAGCCCTCAGTTGTGATCGTCAAGTATATGAGAGAGCCATGGAGTCATTGGCAAACTAGTGGTGGTTATTTTGCATTATATATGTAAATTGCTGTCGTTATGCATGTAATTGTGGTTTGGAGAACATGTGGTGTTATTTTGTGTTATATATGTAAGTTGCTAGCATCATCTATTCATCTATCACTACGCCATCTGCAGGTTTTGGCAACAACCAATATGTATTTTGAACAATCCTCATATAATGTGTTATATATGTATTTTCACTGTCTGTTTCATCCTTAACATATACATCAATGGCTAACTATCATATAATATTTCTAAACTATATGAATCATGCATTTTGTTGTTATTATATAATGATACTTTTGATATATTTGCAACTATACTTTATACATAAATATCCCGCAGCAACACATAATTAGTTTGCACAATCATTTAGTAAAAAACTGCATGTTATCTGACATATACGCAGAATCACAAAGAAAATATAATGTCGGTTATATTGTGCACCAAATGCTTAGCATACTCAACTTGAAATTTTGCAGTACTATATTTACAATCAAAATCTCGCAGCATAGACTGCAAGAAGTTTCTTTTAGGTTCGAGGTGCAAGGAATACTGAGCTAAGTAAACAAATTCACCAAACATGGCACAAAATAAGCTTTAAAAGGTCCTTATAATTAATTAGTTAATTACACCTATTGATCAAGCATCTACTGATTATAGACTACGCAAAAGGGAATGTGCACCAAACAGGCTTGGTACTCATGCTAGTTCTTCATTTTTTACATATATGCAGAGATCAAAGTGGTTTAGCCAAAACAGGATTCCATTTCTCTAACCGTGATCTCCTCATTAGTACTAATTCAATACTACTACTTGTAATATGTCTTACTCCTACTGATAGTAGTACTAATACTCCTACATGTCATATCTTCCATGGCATTGTTAGTGGGGTATGGTGAAGTACAGGGGAAGTAAAAGCCGTAACATACTTTCGCGAATTTCAGCAAATTTGTCGACGCCCTCATCTCTGGCAGCTACACCAGCATCATCTTGTAGGCCAGTCACCTCCTCCCCACCGACAAGCTGCTCAATGTCATCCATGTGCTGCTCCTCCAAGTTGGCGGAGATGTCTTTGTCCGGTTTCTGCTCCAAGTTGTGGACGCCGCCACCACTTTCCTCGTCCTCGGAGTTAGGGACGACGCAGCCTTCGGGTGGCAGCTCGGAGTCGTCGACGCCGCCACTTTCCTCGTCCTCGGAGTCAGGGACGACGCAGCCTTCGGGTGGCAGCTCGGAGTCGTGGACGCCACCACTTTCCTCGTCCTCGGAGTCAGGGACGACGCAGCCTTTGGGTGGCAGCTCGGAGTCGTGGACACCACCACTTTCCTTGTCCTCGGAGTCAGGGACGACGCAGCCTTCGGGTGGCAGCTCAGAGTCGTGGACACCACCACTTTCCTCGTCCTTGGAGTCAGGGACGACGCAACCATCAGCTGGCAGGTCGGAGTCATCGACGCCGCCACTTGCCTCATCCTTGGAGTCAGGCACGCAGCCGTCGGGTGGCAGGTCGGAGTCGTCGACGCCGCCACTTGCCTCGTCCTCGGAGTCAGGGACAACGCAGCCGTCGGGTGGCAGCTCGGAGTCGTCGACGCCGCCACTTGCCTCGTCTTCAGAGTCTGGGACGAAGCCACCGTCTGGTGGCAGCTCTGAGTCATTGACGCTGCCACACGTCTGGTCCTCCGACTCAGGGACGAAGCAACCGCCGGGATGCCACTCCGCATCAGACAAGTATCCATATGCATGCTGCTTCTCGGTGAGTAACTAGACACCGTCAGCGCCAAGCACCCCACCACCACGGCGCTCCTCGGTGAGTACCTAGACACCGCCGACGCCAAGCACCCCACCACCACGGCGCCTACATCCACCTCGCCTTCCTCCACTTGCCTGTTGTGCTTCGACGTCTAGTTCCGCCACCCTCCGCTTGGGTGCTGCCCTTCTGACCAGGTGAGCCGTGACCTCCGATGCTGCAAGGGGCAGTGAATTGTCGTGCGCCGACCGCACCATTGTCATGCGCCCACGCCGACTGTGGAGGGGAGAGGCGAGGTGAGGAGGCTAGGGATTGGGGATTGAAGTTTAGTGCAACATAGGAACCGAATCGAGGTGGGAAAGAGTGGGGATTAGGGTTGGGGGTGACGGAGGAACCGAATCAGGACGGGGAAGATTGAGGATCGTGTGGGCGGCGATGGAGAGCGATGGAGATTGGGGATCGGCACGGAAGCGCGGTGGGAGGGGGACGAGCGGCGAATGAGTCGAGATTGGGGGCAGATGGGGGCAAGAGCGAGAGGATAAGATCGATTACTATATTAGCGCAAAAAATAAAAAAAAAACTCATTTTTTTCCTGTTCCACTTCCACGTATACGGAGGGGCCCACCACTTCTCTCTACAACAGTACAACGACATGTTTTCTGGGACAATCCGGGGGCGGTGAAACATCAACTTTTCTGGGACGGAGGAAGTACAATTATAATCCTACGTCAAATAAAAAAAGATAATAATGTCCACATTCCCCATATCCTCTCTCCTAGGATTTATGAAACTGACCAAGCTAGCCAAATACTTTCATAGTCACCTCCAGCTCCTATAAGATTTAGCACCCACTTGAGCTAAGTTTAGAGTTAGATCTAGGAGTTGAAGCTATACCAAACAAATCCTTATTCCCCAAAGGCCTAAAACCGATAAGGAGCATCGTTGATTTTGTTTGCCTTAGAGATGGCCTAGGCCCAGCCCAGCCCAGCCCGCACATCTGTTCCATTCCGTTTCAGTGCGCTACACGCTACCATACACGAGAGGGAGGAGAAGTCAATACAAGTACGGTGGCTAGGGGCGGTAATGAGTCCAACATTTTAGCCTACAAAGAGGGTTTGGCTCAAAAGTGATTGGGCTGGGATTTAATAGATTTTTGAGCTAAAACTATTTAAGGTGGGTTGTGAAAGGGCCCATGGGCCCTAGCTCATTACCACCCATAAGTGAATGAGGCACACAGAGAGAGAGAGGCCACCACCACTCACTCCTTCAACTTCAATGGCAGCTCGGTGTAGGTTCAAATTTTGAAAACTTTCAAATTAAACTTTGAAAATTTTTAACTCGAAATTTAAATTTGCAAAACAAATTTTGAAAACTTTCAATTCAGATTTAAAAATTTTCAACTCGAGATACGAAAACTTTCAACTTAGATTTGAAAACTTTTAACACGAATTTGAAATCTTTCGACTCTAGATTTAAAAAATTTCAATTCGAGATTTGAAAACTTCTAAATCAAGATTTGAAAACTTCCAACTCGAGATTTGAAAACTTCCAACTCGTGATTTGAAAACTTTCAACTCGAGATTTGAAAACTTTCAAGTCAAGATGTAAAAACTTTCAACACAAAACATTTGAAAACACGTGTGCTAAATATTAAAAAAATCAGAAAAAGCGAAAAAGAAAAGGGAAAAAAGGATGCAAAAAAAATGCAAAAAAAAGAAAGAGAAAAAAAATCGCTGCGCGCAGGATGGGCTGCTAGCTGGCACGCACACAAATTAGCTTCCATGATAAACCCACAGGTACAAGAATTAGATCGTACTCCCTCTGTCCCATAATATAGCAACCTAGAACCATATAAAATATTTTATAGTATAACAAATCTGGACATGAGACTTTCCAGATCTGTTGTATTATGAAATAAGTTGCTATTTTGTGGTTGAGGGGTACGATTAGATCTAAGGCAAGACAGGAGGGAGGCAAAGTAGACTTACTCGAAACCGTTATCGGGCCGCTGATTCCGTTTGCCCTTGAGATGGCCCTGCCAACATATTCCAGCCCAGCTCAGTCCAGCCTGCAGATCCGTGTACACGGGAGGGAGGGAGTTGGAGGAGGAGGAGAGGACACGTGTACTTACGGTGGCAGAGCCGCTGAGGCGCGCAGAGAGGGAGAGGAGACGCCATCACCACCACCACTCCACCTTCAATGGCAGCTCGCTCGTGCAGGTTCCTCTACTCCTCCTCCTCCTCCCCCATCGCCACCACCTCCCCGCTGCTCTCCCCCACCCCCTCCGGCTGCCACGAGGAGGAAGCTTCTGCTCTCCTCCACCTGCGGCACGATCGCTCCGCGCCGCCGCGTCCGCCATGGAGGGGCAGGGCGCCCCGCTGCTCCCGGAGGCAAGGGAAGCGCCATCGTCGTCGTCGACTCCCACCTCCACGTCTGGGCCTCCCCGCAGCAGGTGCGCGCGCGCCCTAGCCGTTGTTACTTACATTCCCCAATTTTTTTGAAGGTTTGCTTTGCTTTACGGGTGGCGTGTAATTCGCGCGTGCAGGCGGCGGAGAGGTACCCGTATTTCCCTGGGCAGGAGCCGCCGATCCGTGGTGACGTCGACTTGTTGCTCCAGGTTCTCCTCCATTCATCGGTCCCTCGCAAAATAATAATCATCTGCATTCAATCTTGTTTCGTCTTTTGCTAGAAATGTCTGTACATTTGGATGGGTGATAGCCTTGTTGGTTGGAGAATTTTTCATGTTTCTGTCAAAAATTTTGGGGATAACACTTGAGCTGCTCGATGGACAGTTTTTAACTTGGGAATTGGGACTTTATCGATTGAGGAAGACATGGCTATTCAATTCCTGTGATGGACAGAACCTGAATATCACTTAGCTGCTAAAATAGTGTTGCTAATTTCAGTTGAAATATCCATCCTGTTGATTTTTTATCCCCAAATGGTTTGGACTAACATCATGGGAGTGATGAACTGATGATAGTCAGTCTTTTGTGGTTATAATAGTTAATTGGAGATATTGTTTTGAACTCTGTTCCCTCCCTTTTTTTTTCTAGTGTATGGATGAAGCCGGAGTGGACGGAGCTCTCATTGTTCAACCTATCAATCATATGTTTGATCACTCATTAGTTACTAGGTAAATGTTTCTTGAATCCATCTGATCTGAAACTCATATGGTTTTATCGATAAAAAGAAGTTCAATTATAGGATTCTTTCTCTGATATGTTAATGCACATACCAACACAATAAACTAGGTTATAATTTGTTGATTTTGTTTTTGTTGTAGCGTGTTGAAGAAATACCCATCCAAATTCATTGGTTGCTGTCTTGCTAATCCTGCAGATGATGGAAGCGGCATTAAACAGCTTGAACATCTAATTGTACAAGTACATACCTTGGAACTTTCCCAAACCTAAAAACTGGTTCAAACCTACAGTCTGATATATGATTCATTTGCTTCTCACTAGGAAAAGTATCGTGCTGTCCGGTTCAACCCCAACTTATGGCCGTCAGGTCAAAAGGTTTGTAGGGGCAACTGTGCTGTATAAATTTTCATGTTCTCTTGAATGTTGATTATCGTAAATGATTTGGACTTCACAAGTCAGAACACAAAATGCCTTAAAATTATAGATGACAAATGAGGTTGGGAGGTCATTATTCGCTAAGGCTGGAGAACTTGGAGCACCAGTTGGAATCATGGTGATGAAGGTAAAATGCATTCCTCTGCCACGATGCATTGCAATGTGCATAGACTTGTCTTCTTAGGGTACTCACAATGTGCAAGTGTTACATAGTAGTTTAAGATTTTGTATGAAGTTATCTAATTCTAAAATGCCAATGGGAGCAAAAAGATTAGCAGACAAGGTGCAGGCTGGGTTTCGAAGTAACTGCTGAAAATAATAACTTCTATTGTTACTTGCCAAGTTTTTGCCAGCTGATTCTAACATTTGCATCAGTCAGGCTCTGAATGGCACAACTATGATCACAAATGTGAAATTCTTTTGTATGGAGGTGATCATTGCTGAAAGTCTGACTATTCTTCTCCTTTCAGAATACTGTTGGTGCCACCATTGCCATTTTACAATAAAGCCTACATTGTAACACTTGCACGTTTTGAGTAAAGTAAAAGGCATGTTCTTTTGGTCTACTAAGGCCTAGGTACTCTAGAACATAAAAGGAAATTTCATATGTTTTCTTTTGTCATTGTTAATCTATTCGTTCATGCTCTTTGCACATGCAGGGAATCAGTACATATATTCAGGAGATAGAGGAGCTCTGCACAGATTATCCAAAAACTACTGTTATTTTCGATCATATGGCTTTCTGCAAGCCACCAATGTAAACTTTTTTTATTTGCTTCTCCTGAACTGTAGTATTTGTAATCCTTAGCCAAGTGCTTCTTGTCTGTGTTAATGCCATTTCCATTGACATCCAGGAACATTGAAGAAGAGAAGGCCTTCACTTCATTTCTAGAACTATCCAGATTCCCTCAGGTACTTCATGAAACCATTCCAAATTAATGGCTTGTCTAATTCTACTTTAACCATTTACATGCAATTCTTTCATAGTTACCAATAACTTCTGAAAAAAATATTTATTGTAAATTTAAGCTACCTTTGGTACTTGTTGAAGCCTACATTCTTCCGTTTCTCTTATCAGAGATCATGGGTCAGTAGCTTTGTTTCCTGAACCGTGAGGTTTAGTACTCGAGGATTAATAGTATTTATGCAGTGATGAAATTATAGGAACCTAAATGAAATGAAAGAGATTGATATGATCTTTAGTTCCTATTCAAGTTTGTTGGTTGAAGACGGTATTGTACAATAAGTTTCTCAGCTATGAAATGGAATCAGTTCCTTCTGTTTGACACCGTTACACTTACACTGAATCACTGATGCTATAATGCTTGACTTGAACAGATTTACGTCAAATACAGTGCGCTCTTTCGTATTTCAAGAGAAGCATATCCATATGAGGACACATCTCAGCTTCTTTCCCGTGTGATCTCTAGCTATGGAGCGAATCGAATAATGTGGGGAAGGTAATTCACACCTTAAGTGGGACCTTCATTTTAACATATGCTCTGCAACTAGTAGTACCCCAATAAGAAGTCTTCTAAGGAATTATGCTAATAACACTACTATTGATCAATCGATTAGTGTTGAAGTCTTACAAAACCCTCCAGTAAGAATAACATAATCCGCACTCCTATTAGAAATCTGTAATGGACACGAATAGATGATCTCTTGCATGCTTGCAAACCCCAGTACCTGTATAAACTTCTTATGCTCTGCACTTATTCTGCAGTGACTTCCCCTTCGTTGTTCCTGAATGTGGCTACAAAGGGGCCAAGGAGGCGATCTCTCATGTCGCCGGCAAGATACCTGTTTCCTCGTCAGATTTGGAATGGATCTTAGGCAAAACAGTGACCCAACTGTTCCAAGGTGCATGGGTTTCTGCATGATAGGGGTGTCATTGGTTAGTGTAGCTTTTATTGGTCAGTAAATATCCTTGCAATGAGAGGGTGAAAAAGATTCTTGTATGAGAGGAAAACGGCGTTATCCAGTTAAAGCATTATTCTTTCTATTCGCTAATTGATAACCTGTTTAGGTTATCCTTTTTTGCAAGGTATTAAATGTTTATATACAATAGCTCGGCTCATTGCAAATCTTTCTGGTCACCCAACAAAGCACTTCAAAAGTTCATACTTCTAGTGCAAAATTGTCCAAAAATATTCAGCATGTGAAAATGATCTCAAGAAAATGATGAGATCATTATAAATCCAAAATCTCTGTTTCTACTCGATAATGTTTTGAGACCCGTTTGGCACTAAAATATCATTACTACGTTGTTTTCCTTGTGTTTCTTCATGGGATGGTTTGGGAGTTTAAGCAAACATCTTAAGCCGATGGGCTGAGAAATTGTCCTCCCAATCAAGGCCTCACAGTGGTAGTATTACTTTTCAAATCAGCAAGCTATATAGGCATCACACATTTTCTTTTTATTTTTTCTAGTCAGTAATGAATATGTATACCAGCCTTACATTACAACAGGATTAACAATAACATTGCATACAAACTCAAAAAGTAGAGGAGAAAAAGAGGAAATTATGGTCGAAATGTACAGGTAGACAACTGGAGAACACAACCAAGTACTGTAGCTATTATGTACTCCCTCCATCCCCTAATATAAGGGATTTTGACATTTTACTTGCACTGTTTGACCATTCATCTTATTGAAAAATTAGAATTATTATTTATTTTATTTTTGACTTACTTTATTATCCAAAGTACTTTAAGTACAACTTCTTATTTTTTATATTTGCATAAATTTTTTTGAATAAAATAAGTGGTCAAACAGTGCAAGCAAAATGTCAAAATCCGGAGCGAGTATCACTCTGCTTGTTTGGCACATATTGACCTAGCGTGGACTAAACCACATGATCAAATTGCGCCTGTACATGATATCATCACCATACTAGTCAAGTATGGACAATAAGAAGCTAACGATGCCATCGATGCTAGCGGCGAAGTGTTTTTTCCCCTAGTTAGTAGTAATTGTTAATGGGTGTTTTTGTAGTCGAGACATCAAGGCGCTTCATCAATGTCTCGACTACCAAAAACATCTTCTCCAAATACTTACCAAGACATCAAAACACAGTAATTAGTAACCAAACCTCTTGTTTATACCAGAGTTTGTTGGAGAAGATAATGATGCTGATATATATACTACATTAGTAAACTTTCAAACGGACATAGTGAGGGAAAAAAATATAATGAATGAAAAAGAAGAGGAATACAAATTAAAATAACATAAGTGAGATAACCTATGAGCTACCATGATCAATGTTTATGACATTTCAAGTATAGTTTCTAATGAATGAATTTAAGGAACAACCATCGATAGTAGACACCATCTCCATCTATTGAGGTTAGGGTTTATAATGTGGCACCAATTTTTGCTGGTGCATGTCTATATATTTTTGAAACCATATGGACAGAAAAAAAATTATTGGTACAACTAGCTATTCTCCTTATATTTCAATTATAAGTTCATAACATTAAATGATAACCTACATTTGCGGTACTATATAATTTTTCCACTATGTTTTGATCGTTGACGGTAGGTGTTGCTTGACCATTCAGAGCAACTTTCCATGCTCCATGTAACCGCTGACAGTCGTGGTAGATACTTTCGTTTACAGATGAAAGAAAGAAAAACCATACATATATATATATATCATCATTCTAACATTTTTACATAAACAAGACAATAAGTACATCAAATGGCTCTACCGTTTTCCTTGTTTCCTTTACATCTACATATTAATTGTAAAACTATATAATTTTCTCTTTTATTTTTTTAGTCTTCATGAGGGGTCGTTTGACATTGTGTCTCGAACCGACCTCTCATGTTTTAATCATAGTTTAAGCACCATTAATCGTCAATAAGCGCTTAAATCTATTTTTTCCTACCTTTTATGATCCTCACATTTATATTTTCATGCAAACACGATAGTGAAAGGTTAACACATTAACCGGCTCTACTTTCCACGTTTCTATCACAATTTCTTATTAAATGCTAACCACATTTGTAAAACTATAGTATAACTTTCTCTTTTATTGCTAACCGTGTAAACGGTTACTTGACCATGTGTCCTTTTTCGGTGTTTCTTGATATAACCGTTAACGGTCAACTATGTGCCCAATATCCAATTTAGAGGAGTTTCTAGCTATAGCAGCTTCGACATATTCTCACCTAGATTATGAGAAGTTGTACCTATAGAATCCAGAAAATAAATTAGAAGTTAAAAAAACCAGCTACCAACCAACTGCTTTTCAGAATCTTAAAGCCTCATCGGTTACCCATATCCCCCAAAAAGCTAAAACGACTTATTAGGAAATAAAAATTATTAATTTATAAGTAAAACTTGTATATATTTGTTCGTAGCGACTTAAAAGTTAGTGTAAAAAGAAATTATGTCGAAAATATCTTAAAATTAGCTTCAAATCAATTTTTTGCTTTTGTTTTGGCTTATTAGTTTAACCGATAAGGATCTTATACTCCCATTATTTGGCTGATTTGAGAAATCAAACGAAACGTCATATTTACAAATAAAAAATAATTTATTAATAAAATTTTTATAGACGTGTTCTTAATGATCTAAAAGCAAATACTGAAAATAAATATCAAAACCAACTCTAAATTAAATATTAAAAATTCAAATTTCGATTAATAAGTATAAGCATAATAAAAAAAATTGAGGCCGTTACTTTCTCAAACATAGGCAAAATATCTCGATAGGCCATTTCCCGCACCTCTTCATGATTCCCAAATTTATTTTACCACCATCACGATATAAGTATTGGTTTTAACCGACCTTCAGGCTTCAGCCCGGCAAGGACGAGCGGATTGTATCTCTGCAAGTCTGCATCACGCGACCAAAAATAAACCCGCGGAGAAAAGAAAAAAAAAACACAGAGAGAGAGAGAGAGAGAGAGGAGACATGGGAGAGGAGAAGGGAGAGAGAGTAGAGAGACGGGAAGCGATGGCGGCGGCGGCGGAGGAGGAGGAGCCCGAGCAGGTGCCCATGGTGTTGGTGGCGCCGGGGAAGCTGGTGACCCCCGAGCAGTTTCAGCGAGCCCGAGCCCTACCGCGCCAGCTGGCGGCGGTGGCGGCGTCCCCGCGGCAACCGCGCCCGCTCGCCATGCAGCAGCAGCAGCAGCAGATGTCGCAGTCGATGATCTTCGGGCGGCCGTCCGCGCCGGCGCCGACGACGCTGCAGGGGTTCGGGTTCGGGCGCGGCGCAGGCCCTGGTGCGGCGGCGGTGGCGGCGCGTTCGGCCGAGGGGGATGGGGATGGCGGCGCCGCGTCTCGCCATGCAGCAGTCGACGACAACGACGATGATGCAGCAGCAGAAGGGATTCGGGTTCAGCGGCGCTGGACCAGCGGCGGTGGCGCCTTCGCCGCGCGGGATGACGATGGCTGTGGGGCCGCGTCTCGCCGCGCAGCAGAAGCAGAGGCAGCCTACCCTCGCGCCGCCGCCGCCGCCGCAGCAGAATCAGGGCTTCAGCGGGGCCGGGGCTGGGGCGATGGGGGTGCCTTCGCCGCAGGGGATGGCGGTGGGAACGCGTCTCGCCATGCAGCAGCAGCAGCCGTCCATGATCCCCGCGCCGCCGACGATGACCACGCAGAAGCAGCAAGGAATGGTGTTCGGCGGTGGCGCAGCGGGAGCGGGGTTAGCGCCTCCTTCGCCGCGGGGGACGCCAATGGCGACGGGGCCGCGTCTCCTCATGCAGCAGCAGCAGCCGTCGACGATCCTCGCGCCGCCGCCGCCGACGCCGACGCGGCAGAAACAGCAGGGAATCGTGTTCGGCGGTGGCGCAGCAGCGGGGGTGGCGCCTCCTCCTTCGCTGCGGGGGATGCCGATGGCGTCTGGGCCGCGTCCCGCTAGGCAGCCGCAGCGCAAGCGGAAGCAGCGGACCCTCGCGCCGCCGCAGCAGAAGAATCAGGGCATCGGCGTGTCCGGGGCCGCGGCTGGAGCTGGAGCTGCGCCCGTGTCTTCTCCGCCGAGCGGGATGTTGGCGGCGGTGGAGATGGCGTTGGGGGATATGGCGGAGGACGCTCGGAAGGCGTGCAACCCGGACATCACGACGCCGTTCGCCTCCGTCGAGGACGCCATCAGCAGGTACGCGTGCTTCCCCTTCGCCGATCAATCTCCCTCCTCCTCCTCCTCCTCCTCCTCCTCCTCCTCCCGTCTCCGCCTCACTTTCTCTTCGTAGCGTTAAACTTTTTCTGCTGGTTTTTTTTATTAGTTCTTCTTCGCCGCGGTGAACAGCACCGAGATTGATCGCTGGTTCCTAGTTGCGATCGACTTGCGTTTGCAAGGTTTCGTCCGTGTTTTAGGGGATTCGGGCTTGTATGTTTAAGTTTTTTGGTGCAGCGAATCTGAATATCTGATCATTCGTTAGATGTTACATTCTCTGAAGAGGGGTTTATTCAGAGGATTTGAGTCGACGCCAAACTTCTAGTGCTTGCAAATCAATCCATGAACAATTTTAACGAAAAAAACATTGAGGAGTTTCAGAATTGTTCGCTGGGTTAGTTCATTAAAACAGGGAAAAGGGCACGATCAGCAACTTTGATTTTTCGGTTTCATCGTGTTCTGACGAAATGCTTTGGAATCTAATGTTTGGCTAACTTCATTGTGAGAATAATCCATTTTGAATTAACAGGGACATTGATCCTTGATTAATAATACTGAATAGGTGTTTTGGTTACGATCAATTTCTGATAGTATAATTTCTATCACCACACATTAGAACATACAGTATGTGATTTGAAACCAATGTTTCAGCATATAAATTTCTGTTGTCTCTGTTAGAATTGTGGCATGCTAATTAATCTTTACCCGTCTGATCACCAAAACTGTTTTTATCTTCTTTCGTTCATGTCTGCATTGTCAATAATGATGATGTAGCACACAATTCTTAACACTTGTCCAAGACTGATGCCATCATAGTGTCATGTATGTATGTTCACCGCATGGTATCCCAAATTCCCAATGATTCAGTGAAATTCATATCAATACATATAAGATTGATGCTGTCATATATGTATGTATGTTCACACTTTTGATGAAAGAAAACACTGAAATTCATATCAAGTATTGCTGCCAATCTCTGAATTCTGTATTGGGCCAAGAAGTTTCTTATGCGCAGTTGCTTTCATCCAGCTAACTACACTGAAAAAAAAAAGAATCATATACAGTGAGTATGTGTACAGTAACTATGTTGTTCATGGACTGTTTTAATTTGCCCCGCAGGCTGCTTCCATACAACGTGTACGCGGAGTACGAGGAGGACGAGATCTACGTCGAGGACCAGCCGCCGGCGAAGGACAAGTCGAGCGTGCAGGAGTGGGATGACGACCGCGAAGCCGAGGTGATCCGCATGGCGGAGGAGTTCGAGAAGCTGGTGCTGACCTACAACGTCGCCGTCCGGAAGTCCGGCGCCGGCGCCGCCCGCGGCGAGGAGCGGCTCATGGTGGAGAACCTCCTGCTCGCCGACGAGCAGCGCAAGTCGGAGCACGTCAGCGCCCTCGTCCGGCAGCAGCAGCAGCAGCTGGTGGCGCTGCAGAAGCAGCAGCAGCAGCAGGAGGAGGCGGCGCTGCAGCGGCAACGGATGCAGCAGCAGCAAGCCCTGCAGCGGCGGCAACTCTTCCTGGAGCAGCAGCAGCAGCAAGCAGCGCTGCAGCAGCAGCTCATGCTAGAGCAGCAGCAGCAGCAACAGATGATGGCAGCGCTGCAACAGCAGCAGCTGGCGATCTTGTTCCACGACCAGCCGCAGCAACCGGAGCCGCTGGGGCCGGCGTACTGGCTGGCGCCCGTGCATGCCGTGCCGCCGCCGCCGCAGCAGCAGCAACAACCGGAGGAGGGGCAGGCGGGTGGCGCGGCCACCGAGATGGCGCCGCAGCCGTTGAGGGAGCTTCGTGATTCGTGCTAGACAATGATCTGATCGAGCATGCGCGATCGTTTTTGTTGGCTTCGTGACTCTTTTTTGGTCCATATATAGATAGAGCTGAGCAGTGGCATTTGGCATGTGAATTGTGAACCTGATTCTTCGATTGACAAAGACCCAAGTTTTGGTTTATGAAATCTTTGAACTAATGTGGCTTGAAATTTCAGAATTTGTTCCGGGAGAGATAATCCTCTTGTTCAAGTTCCATCAGATGGGGACACGAACGAGGGCGCCGCACCCACCCCCACCCGCTGCCGACAACAAGAGGTACGTACGTGCCTTGTTGCTCTGTCTCTCATCTTGCTACCATCTTAATTTCGTCCAAGATTGAATAAATTGATCTCTCGTTTCGTTATTACTACTCCTGCGAGTCCGAGAAAAGATGATGCACTCTACGACTCGATCGCCACGCGCGAGAGTCCTAAACCGAACCTATGGCTACCTTACGATAACGGCTCTGTTTCTTCGATTAATTAACCACCTACTACTACTACTACTACTACTCGATCTAGTATATAAGTACCGCACCTGCGCCTCTTGCAAATCGATCTGCAACCACGAGATACGGCTTTCAATTACAAGAGAAATCCATGGACCACACCAAGGAATTCATCGACGAGCTCCACAAGCCCTTGACGGCAGAAGCGAAGGCGCGTATGGTGGCAGACGGGAAGAAGAAGGTTCAGCTTCAAGAAAAACAAGAGGACGGCACTGCGCTTCGTCAGGGGAGTCGTCTTTCGGCTACCGACCTCATCCGGTACACCCTCATGGGCATCCGATTTGCGTTCACGGCGGCGGATGCACTACTACCACTATACACAGATGCAGATGGTGCCCGAGCTTACAGGAACTACTTTTGGCGTGTTTTACAATTGTTTTCACTATTTTTTCATTGCTATCATTATTCTAGCTAGCTATATGGGTATTTAAGTCAGTCTTGATGGCTTAATCCAATAATATCGTTTTGTTTTTTTAAGTTCTAATAGGTCCTTTATTGTTTGTAAGATCAAAGCTTTACTTTAATAAATATTTGAAGTATATTTTGTCCTATATGGTAGTACCGTTTTATGCATATTTGTTTTTTTATGCATATGTGTGGTTGTCTTTTCCCGTTACGATCATTGATCATCGTGGGAAAAAAAATATTTTCGTTTCCCTGGTTACGATTTCTATTGTAATTTTTTTCGCTCTATCAATAGAACTTCGCACCGTCTCGTACTGAGTCGTTATAAAAAAAATTGTGGAGTTGGCTGTTTCGTTGTTCAACAATGAGCTGTGTAGAAACAATTAGTTAGGAATTTTTAGAGGTACTAGTTGAGTGCTCGTGCCTTGCTACGGGACAAAAGTATGTATCCATTTTAAGTCATCGAGTAAAATAATGTTAAGTAATCATTAAGTGTAAATTATAACAAAACCTTAATATAGCCCCACATTCAAAGAGACCACTCGATCTCCACACGCTTAACCTAAAAAAATCATGTTTATGTACTGTTGCAAAATTGATAAGAAACGTAAAAAAACAATGTATACCTTTTATATTGCCCTTGCATTATATCGATCACAATACATTTTAAGAACTATCAACCATCTGAAACCATTGAAAATTTAAAGCTCCTCGCAACCCTAAGAACCTCTATCCATAATAGCACAAGGGGATAGAATGGCATATAAACTTGCAGGTTTCCCTTACAGGAAGGAAGCGTATTTTTTTGCACTGCTGCTTCCCTTTGCCGATAGCCATCACAGGTCACCGATAGCAACCGCCCACCATGTGTTCTCCTTATGGGCCTCCTCTGCCTTTGCCTCCTCTTCCTCCACCTCGGCAAGGCACTTGGGTTTGTTTGCCCCAAGGGTAGCAGGTTTGTGCCTTCTGCAGGTGCTCCCCATCCTCAGCATAACTTGACTGCACTTGTTGAAAGGCAAAGCAAGAGGGTTATGTTCCATTCATGTCCTCACCATTCATCCACTATTGCAAGCGATTTGTGAAGTAAACAACAAATTCAGGTAGGATGCTTTAAAACACACTCCAATCATTTTTAAACGAGTGACTTGGATCAGTCCAATAAATCAACAACCCATAGGTGACGCAACAGAAACTAATATGCAAGTACCATCACCGATTGTTTTCTCAAACCAGTGCGCAACCTGCAGAAAAGTAAAAATTTGAAATTTATCTTAGGTGTCCGCATATTTACTTACCAATATTTCAAAAATTTGAACAATTCAACTCATCTAGGCGGGGGAGGGAGGAGGTGGTGGGTGGCGGCGGTGTCTAATTTGAAATTTTGAATACACAATAATTTGTAAAAAGAATATGATTGGAAGTTCTTAAGATAGTTCAAACACCAGTCAGTTGTTCATGCTATGCAATATAATGAATAGTCACCATTTATCTTTAAAATACTCTACAAAAGGCTGAAATGCCCCCATGAACCTTTGCTTTAACTGATAACAGTAGTGACTCAGGTAGAGTGCTTCTTTTTGCAAGTTCTTCAAATTACTGCGCCTAAGACGACGGCGCCAAGCTGATCTAGATCAGCTACGGCACTTGAGCTTGTCAATGAAGAAACCTTTAGAATGGTACCGACCAACTATGGGCTTCTCAATGTTTTGTATAACTGCTAGACAACTCACTCATACCAGGGTCTTTATTCTAGATGTGCAGCAAGAAATTATTAGAACAAAGCTTAATATTGCAGTCCAAAAAGGTACTTACCTGTGTACCACCATGATATGAAAATCCTTGCGCTGCAAACATAATACAGAGGAACATTGTTAAAATCTACAATAACGCATCCATTGTTAAGATATACAAACACAGGATGCATCGGTGTTAAAATTGAGTACTCTACAAAGGGACTCAAATAATTGTTTACCAGATAACATATTTGTGTTTGAATCATGTACAAATGACATCGCCAGTTCTCAACAAATTAAAGTAAGGATTCTAGCCCTAGCACTTGGGGAAAGCATGCACAGAACAGATTGTAATCACTCCCAAGTCTCAACTTTAAGGAAGCCAATGTTTATGTAAATACATAATGTATTAAAGACATTTTCCCTGGATTACATCTAGCATTCTGGCAAAAGGGACTAAAATATTCAGTTGGATGACTAATAAGAACAAACATTTTCAGTGCTGTAAGCAGAAATCCTTTGGTAGTAATATAGATATGCTGGCACGATATCTTACTTTTCAAAACAGTGACAAAAGATTTAATCTGAGATAAGGATATGCTGATATACAGAGCTCTAAAACAATCAAAGAGAAAAAAAAGGAGATCACTCAGCTAACACCTCCCTTTTGCCTTCAAAGAGGTGGAGAAATAAAGTAATAAAATGCTGCAGGAAAACAAAGCCACTATACTCTGGCCGAGTTTAGATCCAAACTTTTTCTTCAAACTTCCAACTTTTCCACCACATCAAAACTTTCCTACACACACAAACTTTCAACTTTTCCGTCACATCGTTCCAATTTCAACCAAACTTCCAATTTTAGCATAAACTAAACACACCCTCTTATCTTTTTTGTTCATGTGAAGAAGGGATTAGGCCATTAGGGAAAGTCAGAAAGAGATAAATTGGTGGCAAATAAACTTACTCAGATTTAACATGAAAATAAACCAAAGAAACATTTTGCCAAACCATATGCTATTAGCAAAATTGCTCTAAGATATCAGCATTGCACACGTATGTCTCAGATGTTTAGGTAAATATCCAAACTTATCCCCTATAACATGCAGTGATACAGGCAAACATGCAGAAGCCAAATATTTCGAAGCCATTTACTTACAGAAAATCAGCCAACCGGTTTGCAAGCAAATTTCTACTGCTCTACTGTCACTCCAATGCATCAGTTATCAATTCAATCTGAAATACGTGCAGCATGAGCATAACTTGATGAACAATATATAGGATGGATAATTTGCAGCCTATCAGTTGCTTCCCATTGTTTATTTCATATGTAGCAGATGTAGAAAAAGGAGGTAGGGGTGACAACAGCACAAGAAAATTTTGGAGCAGTCGAACACAGCAGCAATGACTAATAAGATGGACTCACAGTCATGGTGCCGACTCTCTTCCTGCTCTATGCTCTGGAACTGCCTAATTTACCTGAACAAAAGAAGAGGAATCAACAAAGAGAAATCTATTAAGCATAAAAGATACCGAATTGTGGCGGAGGGGATGGCGAGGAACGACACACCGGCCAGCAGCCCATTTTCAGGCAGAGGATTCAGATCGAGCGTCAGCGGTCGGACTTGGAGATGGATGATTTGCCTGATTGCCAGGACACATTAATTGCATCCTTTCAATCTAGCCGCGTGCGCAAAAATGGTAAAACCTCACCGCTTCCCACTCAAGGCTGCCTCCTCCATCGTTACCGACCAGATCAATGGAGCAACGGTGGTGACGATCAGGGAGGTGCGGCGTGGATGCCGCGAGCGGTCGGTTGTGGCGTCGGCGACGAACTCCACTCGTGGCCTCGTGGGCGTAGGGCACAGCAAAAATGGCGACGATGCCCTGATGCGGCGGCGGCGGCTGGTGATCTGTGGGGTTGAGGGAAAACCGGGCGAGAGGGAGGGAGTTACGACTTACGCGGTGGCGAAGTGAGGGGAGGAAGAGGCGCTCTCGATGCGGAGGGAGAGAAGCGATCTGACATGTTGAATTTGACGATCCACGGCTCACATTCCGCGTGTTTGCGATTGGCTTCTAAGTAGTATAGATATAGAAGTGTACTGTGTAAGCACTTCTCTTTTTTCAAAATAAAATTTCTAAGAAAATAATTCCCCACATGTCGAGCCGTTACGGTATGGAAACAGGCACGGGCAAATACAAATCCTCCATGGAATCTGAATCCGAATCTGAGCCGTTATACTCCATCCGTATTATAAGATATTTTAATCTTGCTTCAAATTTAACCCAAGATAAATTTATTGTGAAAATATATTCAAATATTGATATAGTATTATAAACATTACTCTATTTCTCTATAAATTTAGTCAAAAATATTTTATAATCTGCAACGGAGAGAGTAGTAGTAGATTATAAAGGATAGGTGAAGTAGATTAGGGTGTGTTCGGACACCCCTTTTTCCAACAATTCTCTCCCGTTTTCCGTGCGCACGTTTTTCAAATTGCTAAACGATATGTTTTTTTTGAAAAGTTTCTATATGAAAGTTGCTTAAAAAATCAAATTAATCCATTTTTTAAAAAAAATTAGCTAATACTTAATTAATCACGCGCTAATGGATCGCTCCATTTTTCGTGCGGAGGGTTCCGATTGGGAACAGGTAATAGCTAACCGAAAAGGCTAGTTAGCGCACGCGGTGCCAACGCGCATTTCCGGCCCACGCGGCCCACGCGTGCGCTCTCCTTTTTTTCGTTGTTTCTTTCTCTCCTTATTTCGCTGTTTCTTTCTCTCTCTTTTTCCGCTGTTCCTATCGTACCGTACGGTAACATAATTAGTTTAGATTAGTTTTTTTACTAGTGATTAGTTTACTAGTAATTTTTAAATCTTAACTTTAAAATTTTTAAATCTTAACTTTTAAATTTTAAAATTTGGACTTGAAAGTTTTTAAATCTCGAGTTGAAAGTTTTTGAATCTCGAGTTAAAAGTTTTCAAATCTCGAGTTGAAAATTTTCAAATCTCAAGTTGAAAGTTTTCAAATTTTTCACATCTGGACTTGAAAGTTTTTGAATCTCAAGTTGAAAGTTTTCGAATCTGAGTTGAAAGTTTTCAAATCCGAGTGGAAAGTTTTCAAAATTTGACTTTAAAATTTAAATCTTAAATCAAAAGTTTTCAAATCTGACTTAAAAATTTTCAATTTGTTAGTAAAAAAATCTCCCCATAAAAGAAAAAAAATCTTAAGAATGTTCCCTAATTACTCGTCATTAGTGTTAAGTAATACAATATAGTAGTTAGGGAGGTAATCCTATAAAGTAGTTAGGGAGGTGCTCGCTGCTGACGCGCACGTGCCAGCTAACAGCACCCATAGCTAACACACCCTGAGAGCATCCCCAGCAGCTTATCTAAATTTCTTCCTCCATGTTGTTATTTGGATGATCCTCCAAAAAGATTCTCACTCCATATTTCTCTTTACTCCAGCAGATAATCTATATTACATCCTTCATCCTATATTTTACAATTATCTTTCAACTGCCATATATTTGAAATTAATTTCTCTCTTCTACCTCTCCTTTCTCAACACTTCTTCTCTCTTCACTCCTCTTCTCTCTTCTCTCTCTTCTACCAGGTAGGGGGCGGCCGACGGGCGGAGGCAGGGGGCGGGTGGGCGTAGGCGCAGGCGGAGGGGGGCGGGCAGGCGCAGGCGAGGGCGGAAGCGGGCGGCGGGCGCAGGCGGAGGCGGATGCGGCGGTCGGCGGTTGGCGGAGGCAAGCGGAGGCGGATGCGACGGGCGGATGCGGCGGTCGGATCCCGCCGCCCCCCAGACGCCAAGCGTCGCCATCCCTGCCGCCCTTGGCTGTCGATCCAGTCGCCGCCTGTCTCACTCGCTGCGCCGTCGTCGCCCACAGCCGCCGCCTTGGCCGCCGGCCACCTCCTCCTTCCCCCACCACCATCGCCGCCTCCTGCTACGTCGGCAGCGATGTTGCACGCCACCCCACTGCCGCGCCAAGTGAAGAGGGAGGACAGGGACGTGCAACGGCGGCCGGCGAAGGTGGGATCGATCCGGACGGGGGCGGGAAAACTGGATGGCGTGAGGAGAGAGAAACACCAAATCCTGTTTTGGCGGATGTCTATTTTTGGAGGATGTTTTGGAGTGTCTGCTGGAGCCTCTTTTTTTGCTTCCATACGCCAGAGCTGCTGGGGATGCTCTAAGGTCGTAGAGTCCGGAAACCACAGGTCTCAGGGATGCCGTGTGGCGTTGCGGCCCATTGGAGGCCCAAGCGGGCCGAATCGGCCTATCAGCCTTGCCAGGTAGTTGCTGGACCTGATGGGCTCGGGCGTCCGGTGGTTTTTCCCTGTCGGCTCGGCTACTTAAAGCGAGTCCAGTGGAGCACAGAAAGTCCTGCACCCAAAGCAAACTCCTGCTTCCCAATTCGCACAGCCCAGCCAGCCCAAGGATGATGGCGCGATGTCTCCCCCGACTTCTCCGCTGGGTCCTCGCCTTCGCTGCGATTTGGAGCCAGCTGCTCCTCATCTACGTCACCTTCTTCGGGTTCACACATGTTATTTTGGTCTGGATCCGCATCGTCCGCATCGGCGTTGCCGCCGCCGTGGCGGCCTTCGTCCTCACCTATTTCCGCTGAGCGGAGGCGCCGGCGCCGGCGGCGGCTTCCTCCACGGCGCGCCGCCGGGCTCACCGCGGGGGATGGCGGTGGGAACGCGTCTCGCCGTGCAGCAGCAGCAGCCGACGAAGACGCAGCAGCAGAGGCAGCGGGGAATCGGATGCGGCGGCGCTGATGCAGCGGGGGTGGCGCCTCCTCCTTCGCCGCGGGGGATGCCGATGGCGCCGGGGCCGCGTCTCGCCATCGACCAGCAGCCGTCGACGATCCTCGCACCTTCTCCGACGACCACACTGCAGAAGCAGCAGGGGATCGGGTTCGGCGGCGCTGCAGCAGCGGTGGCGCCTCCTCCTTCGCCGCGGGGGATGCCGATGGCGCCGGGGCCGCGTCTCGCCATCCAGCCGCCGTCGACGATCCTCGCGCCTCCGACGACCACACTGCAGAAGCAGCAGGGGATCGGGTTCGGTGGCGCTGCAGCGGGTGTGGCGCCTCCTCCTTCGCCGCCGGGGATGTCGATGGTGGCGGGCCCGCGTCCCGCCAGGCAGCACAAGCGGAAGCAGCCGAACGTCGCGCCGCTGCAGCAGAAGATTCAGGGCTTCGGCGGGGCCGGGGCTGGAGCTGGACCGGCCCCGGTGTCTTCCTCGGCGCGCGCGATGGCGGAGAAGGCCGCAGCTGCAGACCCGGAGGAGGAGGCGCGAGCGAGGGAGCGCGCGGCAGCGGAGCAGATCGCGTACGAGGACGCGCGGAAGGCATGCAACCCGGACTTCACGACGCAGTTCGCCTCCGTCGAGGACGCCATCAGCAGGTACGCGTGCTTCCCCTGCTCCGATCAATCTCCTCTTCCTCCTCCATCTCCCGTCTCTCCGCCGCGCGCCGCCTCGTTGCTTTTCTCCTGTTTTTTTTTTTTTTGGATTAGTTCCTCGCTGCGGTGAACAACACCCAAATTGATCGCTGTCGAGTTGCGTTTGCAAGATTTCGTCCGTGTTTTAGGGGGATTCGCGATTGTTTAAGGTTTTCGGTGCGGCGAATCTGAATTTCTGATCATTCCTGTACTGCACACGATTCGTTAGATATTACATTCTCCGAAGAAGCGTTTCTTCGGAGGAATTGGATCGACGACAGCCAAACTTCTAGTGCTTGCAAATCAATCCACGAACAATTTTAACGCAAAAAACATTGAGGAGTTTCAGAATTGTTCGCTGGGTTTGTTCATTAATCTCCCGGTGATGGATGAACGGGGAAAAGGGCACGATCGGCAACTTTGATTTTTCCGTTTCATCGTGTGTTCTGACGAAATGCTTTGGAACCTAATGTTTGGCTAACTTCATTGAGAACAATGCATTTTGCATTAACAGGGACATTGATCCTTGATTAATAATGCTGATTAGGTGTTTTGGTTATGATCAATTTCAGATAGTATAATTTCTGTCACCGCACATTAGAACATACTGTATGTGATTTGAAACCAATGTTAAGTTTCAGCATATAAACTTCTGCTGTCTCTGTTAGGATTATGACGTTGCTAATTATGCGCCGTTGCTTTCATCCAGCTAACTACACTGAAAAAAAAAACCATATACAGTGACTATGCTGTTCATGGACTGATTTGATTTGCCCGCAGGCTGCTTCGGAACGAGGAGGACGTGGTCTACGTGGAGAAGCTGGTGCTGGCCTTCAACGTCGCCGTCCGGAAGTCCGGCGCCGGCGCCGCCCGCGCCGAGGAGCGGCTCATGGTGGAGAACCTCCTGCTCGCCGACGAGCAGCGGCAGTCGGAGCACGTCAGCGCCCTCGTCCGGCAGCAGCAGCTGGTGGCGCTGCACCTCATGCTAGCGTAACAGCAACAGATGATGGCGCCGCGCAGCCGTTGAGTTCAGGGAGTAGCACAGTACGTTGCTAGAGCTTTGTGATTCGTGATAGACATTGACCGACCTGATTCCTTGCCATGCGCGATCGTTCTTCGTGTCTCTGTTTTGATCGATAGCGAGTGAGATTGTGCATTGGCCTGATCCGTGGCTTTGTGCATTTGGCATGTGAATTGTGAACTTGATTCTTCGATTGACAAGACCGAAGTTAGTTTGGTTTATGAAATCTTTGAACTGGTGCTGGAGCCTGGAGGCAAGAGCTGGCGCTGGAGTGACGCGGATGACGCACGATGCGGACACGAGTGACGTAACGACGGATGAAAATGATTTGTGACATGGGTAAAATTGTTACTTTTTTTTTAAAGCAGGGATAGATTACAAACCAAAAGTCTGCTGGCTGCAGCCCGCATTGGTAAAATAGTCAATTGATGCTCATTGTCGTTCTATTGTTTTTTTCTTTTTAAATTTGATTTTACAAAACTACCTGATTGATAGGTAGATAGTAATAGTAATGCAGCTACAGGGAATTGGAGTCTATGCTGAACATATTGCATACATTTACGTAACAAAAAATTGAACAAGCACTGCCTAGAAAAAATACATCAAAAACAATACTATCACATGAAACAATATATAATATATATAATGAATATTTGTTAAACTAAAGCTTGGTCCTACAAACAAAGGACCAATTGAAAAAAGTATAGAACTTAAAAGATGACATTACTCAAAATCAATCCATCAAGACGAGTAGTCCTTGAGTTTACCTAGAATAAGGCCAATGATGAGAATATAGTGAGAACATGTGAAAAGATTGCAGAAAAGATCGTCTGTTCCTCGATGCTCGGCCATTAACTGTAAGGCCATTCACACTGCGCCGCGGAATCAGCAGGGGCTTTCTACCTCCACGTAAGCAAACCACGCTCAAAGCTACTCGGCTCACAATGCATGGCAGCATGGGTATCTAAAGTGGGCCCACCAAGTAATGCTTTTTCCCTACTTTTCTGGCTTCGGAGCTCCTCTCTCTCTCTCTCGCTTTTTGAGCCGAAGAACGTGTGACCAAAGTTGGTCACGCGGACTTCAATTTAGTGGGTCTAGAAGTAAACGTGGCACTGGATTGAAAAATCTCACAGATGTGGCAGCGTTGAGCTGAATGACAGATCATCCCACTGTGAATGGCCTAAATAGTTGTATTGTACGACCGCCAGAAGCGCCAACTGGATGAGGCCGATGACGTAGCTCCTCAAGCGACTCCTCTGACGAACCGTAGTGCCTGCATCCTTCTCTTCTCCTTGCGTCTTCTTCCCTTCCGCCGCCAACTTTGTCATCGAAGGTTTGAAGCCGGAATCTGCACCAGAAGAATCATTGTGGAGCTCATGGATGGAGTGCTCCATGAATAATCTCAATATGCTCTAACGTTTGTTTGGTATCAATGTAGCTTAATTTGCCTATGGTTACAGATCGATTGGAGAGGTCGTACGTTTGTGCAATATTTATAGTGGTAGTAGATTAATCGATAGTAGAAGAAACTGAAACGGAATCGATAGGCGAAGTGGATTACAACTCGCGGGGGTCACGTCGTCGTAGAGTCCGGCCACGTCGCGTGCGCGCGCATTGGAGGCCCAAGCAGCTGGGTGAATCGGCCTGTCATGAGGTAGGCCTTAGTTGCTGGACCTGACGGGCTGGCTCATGAGGCCTCGGAGATTGAATAAATTGATCTCTCGTTTCGTTACTACTCCCGCGAGTCCGAGATCGGAGGGTGATCGATGGCCGCGGCCAAATCGTTCAGCGGAAATCGAGAGATCACAAGCACACACGCGAGAGTCCTAAACCGAACCCAACCAAACCTATGGCTACTTACGATGCCGGCTCTGTTTCTTCGATTAATTAACCTACTACTACTACTACTCGATCTATATAAGTACGTACCGCACCTGCGCCTCTTGCAAATCGATCTGCAGCCACGAGATACGACTTTCAGAGATCATTGCAATTACAGGAGAAATCCATGGAGCACTCCAAGGAATTCATCGACGAGCTCCACAAGCCCTTGACGGCAGAAGAGAAGGCGCAGATGGTGGCAGACGGGAAGGAGAAGGTTCAGCTTCAAGAAAAACAAGAGGAGCTGACGGCAGAGGCGAAGGCGCGTATGGTGGCAGACGGGAAGAAGAAGGTTCAGCTTCAGGAGAAACAAGAGGAGGACGGCACTGCGCTTCGTCAGGGGAGTCGTCTTTCGGCTACCGACCTCATCCGGTACACCCTCATGGGCATCCGGTTTGCGTTCACGGCGGCGATGCACTACTACCACTGTACACAGATGCAGATGATGCCCGAGCTTACAAGAACTACTTTTGGCGTGTTTTACAATTGTTTTCACTATTTTTTCATTGCTATCATTATTCTAGCTAGCTATATGGGTATTTAGTCTGTCTTGATGGCTTAATCCAATAATGCCGTTCTTTTAAGTTGTAATAGGTCGCCTTTATCTCTAAGAACAAAGCTTTACTTCAATAAATATTTGTAGTATATACTCATAATCCTATTGGTAGTAGGACTGTTTATGCCTATTTGTATTGTTTTTTAAGCTCTCTTTTCTTTTTTTTTTTCCTAGGAAGGTCTAGGAGGCACCTACCGATCATATGTCATCATGCATGCATGCATGCAAAACTTTCTAAGCGAACTTTTTAACTATTTTTTCTCTTAAATTATTTATCCAAATCATGATTCGATGGCACCATTATATCCATTGCAATTAAATCTTTAAAACAAGTCCACACATGAATATAATCCGATGAAAAAAATATTTATCGTATTATTGAATTATTTTTAAATATTGCACGTTGTTCCACCAAGTATATCGGAGTTGTTTATCTAAGTATGTCGAAAATATTTCAATCGTTTAAAAAGCTGAAACATAACCAAATCAACTCATGGAACATTTTGCTACAACTTACGAAACAAACGGTTCCAAAAAATCGGGTGTTGTTTTACCATATATATAAAACAATGTTTCAGCAAATAGCTAAAGGATGTTTCAATTCACTGCAACATTTGATCTATACATAATGAAACATTACGAGTACACAAGGTGAAATATTTTTGGTGGAACAAAAAAATGAAATGGATTCCCTTAATAGAGGGATTCCATAATATGTGGGTGATTTGTTGCAAAAAGAATATTTCAATTCACTACAACATTTGATCCATATATAGTGAAACATTATTGGTACACTAGGTGAAACAATTTTGGTGAAAAAAAAATAAAGTGGATCCCCTTAATAGGGCATTTCTATTATATTGAGGCAATTGTTGCAACGGGGTGCGCTGTGGTGGGGACACGTGGCGGCGTGCGGACGCGCGTGGTGGGGTCTGGGTGGCAGCGGCGCGGCGCCCAATGCATGCACGCCTGCATCGGACGTCCGGCCAGAAGGATTTTATGAAGGTCTACTTTATTAGAAATCTAGTATAGTGTGATTGTCTTTTCACGGAGTTGGTTGTTTTGTTGTTGAACAATGAGCCGTATAGAAACAATTGCAAAAATGCTATGCGTTCGGCGTCTGATTTGGGGAGAAAAATCAGACGCCCGTACGGCGCACGCTCTGCCCGCCGCGTGTCCCCGCACCATCGGTGTGACGACGCCCCTGTCCGCCGACTACGTCACGAGAGAGAAGGTGAAAAAAAAGTGGGAGAGAAAGAGAGAGGAGGAATAAGAGAAATTGAGAGGATGACATGTGGATCCTACATATCAGTGGGACCCACAATATTATTTTGTATGTGAATGTCAGATGGGTCCCATAGATATTTTTTTAATTCTAATGGCACAAAAACACCACGTGGGACGTAAACCAGTTCAACACCGCCACGACAGTAAAACCGCCCTACAAAACCACTGAGGGAGTTAAATTGCAATGGTTTCAATAGTTCGGGGGAGTCATCCTATCTGGTTTTGCGGTTGATGGTCACGGATTAGATCCGGGTCCCTTTTAAGGGAAACGCAAAGTGGACTTATTGCTATTGCGCACAGTGGAGGCCCATGCGGGGCCAATCGGCCTGTTAGCAAGTAGGCCCTAGTTGATGTACCTGATGGGCTGTCTCATGAGGCCTCGGGCGCCCGGTAGTTTTTCCCCGTCGGCTCGGCTATTTAAATCAAGTCTAGTGGAGGCACAGCTGCGCAGTCCAGCACCCAAAGCAAGCACTACTCCAGAGAGCACCCAAAGCAAAGCCCAAGGAAGAAGAGGACGAGCGCGAGAGAGAAACCCATCCCAGCCAGCCCAAGGAGGCAAGGATCATGGCCCGATGGACCCTCCGACTTCTCCTCTGGGTCCTCGCGTTCGGGGTGATTCTGAGCCAGCTCCTCCGCTACGCCACCATCTTCGCGCTCGCCTTCGGGTTCGGGGACGGTTCGCGGAGGAGGACGCTCTCGTCCGCATCGTCGCTGCCGCCGCCGTGGCGGCCTTCTTCCTCGCCTATTTCCGCTGAGCGGAGTCGCCGGCAGCGGCGGCGGCTTCCTCCACCGCGCCGCGCGCCGCCGGGCTCCTCGACGAGGGGGATGGCGGTGGGAACGCGTCTCCCCGCGCCACCGACGAAGGCGCAGCAGAGGCAGCGGGGAATCGGATGCGGCGGCGCTAGTTGCAGCGGTGGTGGCGCCTCCTCTTCGCCGCGGGGGATGACGGTGGCGGCGGGGCCGCGTCTCGCCATGCAGCAGACGTCGACGATCCTCGCGCCTCCGATGACGGCAAAGCAGAAGCAGCAGGGGATCGGGTTCGGCGGCGCTGTGGCGCCTCCTCCTTCGCCGCGGGGGACGCCGATGGCGGCGGGGCCGCGTCTCGCCATGCAGAAGCCGTCGACGATCCTCGCGCCGCCGCTGACAACACAGCAGAAGCAGCAGGGGACCGGGTTCGGCAGCGCTGTGGCGCCTCCTCCTTCGCCGCGGGGGATTCCGATGGTGGCGGGGCCGCGTCCTGCCTCGCAGAGCAAGCGGAAGAAGCCGAACGTCGCGCCGCCGCAGCAGCAGAAGATTCAGGGCTTCGGCGGGGCCGGGGCTGGAGCTGGACCGGTGCCGGTGTCTTCCTCGGCGCGCGCGATGGCGGCGGTGGCGGAGAAGGCGGCAGCTGCAGAGACTGAGGATGAGGCGCGGGCGAGGGAGCGCGCGGCGGCGGAGCAGATCGCGCACGAAGACGCGCGGAAGGACTTCGTGACGCCCTTGGCTTCCGTCGAGGACGCCATCAGCAGGTACGCGCGCTTCCCCTGCGCCGATCAATCTCCTCCTCCTCCTCCATCTGCCATCTCTCCGCTGCGCGCTGCCTTGTTGCTTCTCTCCTGCTTTTTTTTTTTTTGGATTAGTTCTTCGCTGCGGTGAACAACACCAAGGTTGATCGCTGTCGAGTTGCATTTGCAATATTTCATCCGTGTTTTAGGGGGATTCGAGCTTGTTTAAGGTTTTTGGTGCGGCGATCATTCCTGTAGTGCACACGATTCATGAACTTCTAGTGCTTGCAAATCAATCCATGAACAATTTTAACGCAAAAAACATTGAGGAGTTTCAGAATTGTTCGCTGGGTTAGTTCATTAATCTCCCTGTGATGGATGAACAGGGAGAAGGGCACAGCCAGAAACTTTCATTTTTCCGTTTCATCGTGTTCTGACGAAATGATTTGGAATCTAATGTTTGACTAACTTAATTGAGAACGATGCATTTTGGATTAACAAGGACATTGATCTTTGATTAGTAATACTGATTAGGTGTTTTGGTTATGATCAATTTCTGATGGTATAATTTCTGGCACCACACATTAGAACATACAGTATAAATTTCTGTTGCCTCTGTTAGAATTATGACATGCTAATTAATCTCTATCCGGCCCGTTTGATCACAAAAACTGTTTTTATCTTCTTTCGTTCATGTCCTGCATTGTCAATAATCATGATGCAGTTCACAATCCTTAGCATTTCTCCAAGACTGATGTGTCATAGTGTCATTATGTATGTTCACTGCATGGTACCCCAAATTCCCAAATCCCAATGATACAGTGAAATTCATATCAATACATACAAGACTGATGCTGTCAAATATGTATGTTCGCACTTTTGATGAAAGAAAACACTCAAATTCATATCAAGCATTGCTGCCAATCTCTGAATTCTGTATTGGGCCAAGAAGTTTCTTATGCGCAATTGCTTTCATCCAGCTAACTACACTGAAAGTAATCATATACAGTGAGTATGTGCACAGTAACTATGCTGTTCATGGACTGATTTAATTTGCCCGCAGGCTGAAGGATCTGAAGGAGGAGTAGCAGAAGGAGGCGGCGGCGCTGCAGCGGCAGCTCATGCTAGAGCAACAGCAACAGATCATGGCGCGGCGCCGCAGCCGTTGAGGTAGTAGCACAGTACGCTTGCTAGAGCTTCGTGATTCGTGCTAGATTACATTGACCTGATTTCCTTTGCCATGCGCGATCGTTTTTTTGTTGGTGTTGGCTATTCGTGACTCTGTTCTGATCGATAGCGAGTGAATTGTGCAATTGCCTGATTCGTGGCTCTGTGCATTTGGCATGTGAACTGTGAACTTGATTCTTTCGATTGACAAGACCGAAGTTTGGTTTTTGAAAATCTTTGAACTGGTGCTGGAGTCGTCGTTCCATGGTGAGTCTCTGCCAACCGCTTGGTGATGAATTCGCCTGATCTTTTCTCGATCGATCGATCTGGTCCCAGCCCAGCAGTCGGTTTGAATCTTGGTAAGAGTCCAATTGATATATGGAGAAGACAATCTCGGCAAAGCCGAGCCTATTGCTGCATGAGCGAATCTCTCTCCGCTTTTTTCACGTTCCAGAATTCCAGTAGGATTGTGTGATTCACCGAGTTTGAATGTTTTTATGTTTGAATGTGATTGACCGAGTTTGTAACGACGGATGAAAACGATTGTGACCATGCGAAAAATTGTTACTATTTTTTTTAAAGCAGGGATAGATTACAAACCAAAACGTCTGCTGGCTGGCTGCAGCACGCATTGGTAAAAATAGTCAATTGATGCTCATTGTCGTTCTATTGTTTTTTTTTTAACTTTGATTTATCAGGTACAAAACTACCTGATTGATAGGTAGTATATAGTAGTAATGCAGCTGCAGGGAATTGGAGTTTAGGCCCGTTCAGGGGTGAAAGGTTTTTGTGTGTCACATTGGATATACGGATACGTATTTGAAATATTAAACATAGTCTAATAATAAAACAAATTACAGATTCCGCATGTAAATGCGAGACAAATTAATTAAGGCTAAATAATCCGTCATTACCAAATGTTTACTGTAGCACCATATTATCAAATTATGGCGCAATTAATCTTAAAAGATTCGTCTCACAATTTACACGCAATCCGTGTAATTAGTTTTTTCTTTTGTCTATATTTAATACTCCATGCATGTGTCCAAACATTCGATGTGACATGGTGAAAAGTTTTTGTCTGGAAACTAAACAGCCGCTTATCTTCATACCAAACATATTGCACACATTTACGTAACAAAATTCCAGGGAAAAAGATTGAACAAACACTGCCTAGAAAAAATACATCAAAAACAATACCATCACATGGAACAATATATAATATACATAATGAATATTTATTAAACTAAAGCTTGGTCCAACAAACAAATGACGAATAGAAAAAAAGAAAGGATATATAGACTTAAAAGATGACATTCTAAAATCAATCCATCAAAAACGAGAGCTAGCTGGCATCGCCTTGAGTTCCTAGAATAAGGTAATGATGAGAATATAGTGAGAGCATGCGAAAAGATTGCAGAAAAGATCGTTGGTCCCTCGGTGCCTGGCCATCAGCTCCAAGTAGTAGTATTGCACCACCGCCAGAAGCGCGAACTGGATAGAGGCGATGACGTAGCTCCTCAAGCGACTCCTTTGAGGGAGCGTAGTAGTGCCTGCATGATCCTCCTTCCCTTGATCATCTCCTTGCGCCTGCTTCTTCCCTTCCGCCGCCAACTTCGTCATCGAGGGTTTGGAGCCGGAATCTGCACTAGAAGAATCATCGTGGAGCTCATGGATGGATCCCGTGGAGTGCTCCATGAATAATCTCAATATGCTCTAACGGGACAAGCGATTAAACGTTTGTTTGGTATCAATATAGCTTTGCCTATGGTTGATTGGAGAGGCCGTACGTTGGTGCAATATTTATAGTGGTAGTAGATTAATCGAGAGTAGAAGAAGAAACGGAAACGGAATCGATAGGCGAAGTGGATTAGAACTCGCGGGGTCACGTCGTCGTAGAGTCCGGCCACGTCGCGTGTGCGCGCATTGGAGGCCCAAGCTGGGTGAATCGGCCTGTCATGAGGTAGGCCTTAGTTGCTGGACCTGATGGGCTGGCTCAGAGGACGAGCTTCCCAACCCAAGGAGGAAGAGGACGAGCTTCCCAGCCCAGCCCAGCCAGCCCAAGGATAATGGCCCGATGGACCCTCCGACAAACGACTACTACAGCTGTTAAATTAAGTCATGCGAGATTGCTATTGGGCGATCAGTCGCGCGCCTCCCTCCCCGCGCGACTGCACACGTGTCGCGCGCGGAGAGAGGGCGGCGACGTGCCAGGAGTGAGTTTTTCGTTTTTTTTTGTTTTTTTCCTTTTTTTTCGTTTATGTTTGTTTTGTTCTTTTCTTCGGTTTTTTTTCTGTTTGGATTTTTTTTCTCCGGTTTTTTTATGGTCGGTTTGTTTTTCCCAGTTTATCTTCTTTCAGATTTTTCCCTTTTTTTTAAGATGTATAAATACAAAGTTTGTATTCGTATATATACCAAGTTTGTATTCGTACGTATAGAAAGTTCTATACGCGCATACAAACTTTCTATACGGGTATACAAACTTTTTATATGCGCATACAAACTTTCTACAGGCGTATACAAACTTTCTATACATATATACAAACTTTTTATACGCGTATACAAAGTTTATATACGCGTATATAAACTTTCTATACGTTATGTATTTTCTATTTTTTATATTTTTTTAGTGCATATACAGACTTTGTGTATGTGTGTATATATTTTTTATGCATTAAAATATATTCGTAAATATATACGTATGTATATACTATACACACACACAACATACGTATATATATAAGATGTATACAGTACCTAGGAGAGACTAGAGGGGGGGGGGTGACTGACCGCGCGCGTCCGGCTGATCGCGTATCAGCACCCCCCTAAGTCATGCCCAAGCGATCCAAGGAAAGCAAATTCTGAGTGATTTCCAAGAAAAAAAATCTGTCGCGTGATGTTTAGCAAAAAGGATATGGATGACTAGGGAAATGGGCACGATCAGAAAGTTTAATTTTCTGTTTCATGTTAATTTTCTGTGCGAGACATTGACTTGATCGAGCATGCAACTCTTTTTGTTTGTTTGTGTTGGCTTCGGGACTCTTTTTGATCGATGGAGTATGGTGTTGGCTATGTATGATCATGTTCTTCAATCTGGAATATGATGTCTAGAAACTGACTTTCTGAAACAATATAGATGATTTCGCATTTCATACATAGCCACCAAATTCATGGTTTTTGAGAATGATCAGCTATTATTGTTTGAGAATTATGAGCATCTTATTGATTGCCGAATCCAGGATAAGAACCATCTTATTGATCGGCTATTATTGTTTCATTGGTGGAACCATCTACCTGAGCAGCAGATATTTTGCACTGAACATTTACCCAGCCTCACCTACGACGCCCGTGGCCAGGAGAAGAACACGGGAGAGGAGGCACGGCGGCAGAGGAGATCGTGAAAGAGCGAGCCGACGACGTCGAGGAGAGGCGATTACGATCCGATGGAGGCGAGATGGGAAGGGAGAACGCGGCGGCGGGAATGGGGAAGCGGAGTTGCGGCCGGAGGAAAGGCGAGCCGTCCAGCTCGTTGACTCCGGCGGAAAGGCGAGCCGATACGAGCGAGCTGAGCTGACCCTTATCGTGCTGCGGCTCCAGGCGTGTGGGCGCGCCATCGGATGCACGCCTCTTTCACGCGTCGCGCATCTGACTCGGGTATGCATGGGCTGAGATTTGAATCCGGTATGCACCAAATTTTTTTCCGGTGACCCACGTTCGATCAGCCCAGTACGCCGCAGTATATATACTCCTAATTGTGCATTACACGCTCACGCATCCACGCGACCAGAAATAACCCAAGAAAAAAAAAAAGAAGAGAAGAGGAGATCGAAATGGGAGAGAGAAAGACACGGGAGGAGATGGAGGATGATTACGACGAGGCGCTGTCTCAGCTCAGGGAGCCGGAGGTGCCGTCGCCGCCGCCGTCCCCGCGCCTCCTCGCGATGCTGCAGTCCGCGGGCTTCGCTTCCCCGCCCCCGCCGACGTCGACGCAGCAGCAGCAGGGAATCGAGCTCTGCAGTGTCTGCGCTGAAGAGGCGGCGGCGGCGGCGGTGGCGGCGGCGCGGGGGATGGAGGCGCCGGGGCTGAGGCCCGCCACGCAGCAGCAGCAGCAGCAGGGAATCGGGCTCTGCAGTGTCTGCGCTGAAGGGGAGGCGGCGGCGGTGCGGGGGGATTGGAGCCGCCGGGGCTGCGCCCCGCCACGCAGCAGCAGCAGCCGACGGTCTTCACGCCGCCTCCGCCACCGCCGCAGCAGCAGGGGTTCGTGTTCGGCGGTAGCGGCGCTGCAGAGGCATCGGTGGTGCGCTCGCCGCGGGGGATGATGGCGGCGGGGATCGGGCCGGGCCTCGCACGCAGCAGCAGCAGCAGCCGACGGTCTTCGGGTCGCCTCCGCCACCGCCGCAGCAGCAGGGGTTCGTGTTCGGCGGTGGCAGCGCTGGAGAGTCATCGGTGGTGCGCTCGCCGCGCGGGGGATGATGGCGGTGGGGCTTGTGGCCGCGTCTCGCCATGCAGCAGACGCGGCAGGATTAGGGGTTCGGCTTCGGCGGGGCCGCGTCACGCTGTGCCCGTGTGCAGCAGCAGCCAACTCTCGCGCCGCCGCCGGCGCAGCAACCGCAGCAGAATCAGGGCGTTGGCTTCGGCGGGACCGGGGCTGGAGCGGCGACGACGGTGTCCCCTGCGCCGCGGGGGACGACGATGGCGAGGGAACGCGCGGCGGAGCAGCTCGCGTACGACGACGCCATCAGCAGGTACGTGCTCCGATTGATCTCCTCCTCCTCCATCTCCATCTCTGCCGCGCGCAGCCTTGTTGCTTTGTCTCTCCTCTTGCTACGATTTTTCGCCCAAGATTGAGTTGATCTCTCGTTCGTTCTTGCGACCGAGTTGTGTTGTGTGCTGCAAGATTTCATCCTATTTTGGGGGGAAACGACGCACGCGCGAGTTTAAGGTTTTTGTGCAGCGAATTCTTAACCCCATTGCATTCTCACGATAGAGGTTTCTTCAGACGGATTGAATCGATACCAACCTTCTACGTACTGCTTGCAAAAATCAATCCATGAACAATTTTAACATGAATTTTCAAAACTCTGCACTAGTTAATTTTTTCACTGCGATGGATGAACAGGGAAAATGGATTGATGACATTGATGAGCAACTGTAATTTTTCTCTGTCATGTACATGTTATTCTGACGAAATTCTCTGGAATATAATGTTTGGTTAGCTTCACTGCCCCATATATGTTGAGCTAGTTTTGGATCTGGAAGACAGCATATAAATTTTCAGAATGTAATATAATTTCTGGCATTGAGATCAACCTTTGATAATTTCTGTATGTGACTTGAAGCCAATGTTTCACCATACAAATTTCTGTTGTTTCTGTTAGAAAATTACGACATGCTAATGTACTCGTTTGATCATCAAAACTGTTCATCTTGTTTCATGCATATCTAAGTCATCAATGATCATGGTATCCCAGTGAATTGCTTCACACATTTGATTAAAGAGAAGAGTGAAATTTATTCTAGTAACCATGCATTCTGGTGGATATAGAATGATCGATAGAAATAAAATTCGCATTGAGTGAGTTTTGTTGCCAATGTCAGCATTCTGATATTTCTGAATTTTGCCAAAGAATTTCTTAATCACGTACAATTACTTTTTTCATCAGTGATCAACTCATAATAAGTGCGTACCTGCACTGTAGCAACTAACAATCAGTGTTGCTCATGGACTGAATTGATTTTGGCAGGCTGATCAACAAGTTCGCGGGGCACGACAAGGACGCGATCCAGGGGAAGAACACGTCGAACGTGCAGGTGTTCGATGACATCCACGAAGGCGACGCGATCCGCATGGCCGAGCTCGAGGAGTTCGAGAAGCAGGTGCTGGCATTGAACGCCGCCGCCTGGAACGACGCCGCCTCCTCCTGCGGCGAGGAGCCGGCCGTTGCGGATAACTTCCTGAACGGCGAGGAGCAGCGGGAGGAGGAGGAGGAGGAGGAGGCGGCGGAGCGGAGGAGCTGGACGCTTGAGCGGTGGGAGCTGGAGCTGAAGGCGAGCCGCCGGCGTGTGGTGGAGGCGAACGAGCGCGCGCGGGGGGTCCAGCGCGAGCGCGAGAGGGTGCGGCGGCAGGTGGCGGCGCTGCTGCAGCAACGGATGCTGAAGCGTCAGCAGATGTCCGCGCTGTCGCGGGAACGCGCGCTGGCGCACAAGCGATTCGTGCTCCAGCAGCGTCAATGGCGGCAGCAGATGGTGGAGCAGCAGCAGCAGCAGCAACGCGCGCCGATGCAGCAGCAGCGCATGCCGGTGGTGCAGCAGGCGGCGCCGCGGAAGCAACGAGTCTTCACGGTGACGGTGAGTCGGGCGTATGCACTTCAGCACCAACGGGGAAGCACGCCGGAGGAGCGGCGCGCGTCGGTGCGGGAGCGAGTCAGGCTAGAGCTGCAGAAGGTGGTTGCATTTCTGCAGCGACGCGAGCTGGAGCAGAGGTATGAGCGGGCGGCGGCACTGCTGAGGCAACGCGCGCAGCTGGAGCAGGCAGCGTTACAGGAGCAGCTCAAGCTGGAGATGCAGCAGATGCGGCGGCGGCAAGAGCAGCGCCAGCGCGCGCGTGAGCTGGCGATCATGCCGCAGCCGCAGGGGCATCGCGGCCGCGGCGGCGGCACGGCGCGGCACCCGGACGCCGCAATCGCCCAGGGGGGATCCGGAGTCGGACACAACCACCCCCGCGTGGAGGAGCAGCTGCCCGCGCAGCAGCAGCAGCATCGGCGGCAGCGCGTGCGATCAGTGCGACCGACGTTCGTGGCGCCGCGCGGCGTGGGCACGTCGAGCGGGCAGGCGTACCGGGCACCGCCCGCGAGGCAGATCGTTGTTCAGCCGCAGCCGCCGCCGCAGCAGCCGGAGCTGGCAGGGCAGGCGTTCCGGGCGCCGGCGCCGCAGACACCGCAGCGACCGGAGTCGGCGGGGCAGGACGTGCCGGAGCCGCAGCCGGAGGAGGAGGAAGGGGAGGCGGTGGGTGGCGAGGCCGTCGTGATGGCGCCACAGCCTTCGTCGACGAGGGAGCAGTAGGAGAGGCATGCAGTCGTGATCCGTGCGAGACTTTGGTCTGATCGAGCATGCGAGATGTTACTTTTCTTCCGTCTGTGTTGGCTTACGGCAATAGAGCTGTGGCATGTGAAGCCGATTCTTCTCTTCATCAAGTAACTAGATCAAAGTTTGGCTCCTGAGTTTGGGAATTGTGTTTTTGAACTAAGGTGATTTGAAATTGAAGTCATTCTGGTTGAGCTTCCATGCATGATCTGTGTAGTAGTTTGCCCCCCTTCCAGCCAAGGATTTTTTGAGTGTACCTCTGAAAGAATATGGACCGTTGAAGAGATAAGAGCTAAGGGTGGAAATTCGTTGCTACTACACCTAATAAAAAGGAGTAGTAAGGTAGTAGAAGGGTAATTGTGAAAAAAAAAATTATGTGGCATTCTTGTAAATTCAGTTTTTAGGGGGGTGTATTCTATAATTGTGCATGGATTTCAAATAGGGTTGGCCCATCTGATTGTAAGCCCACAGCGCCGTGCCGCCACACGCCTCCTTCTTCTTCTTCCTCTCGTCGCCGCTTGCCCCGCCTTCTTCTTCCTCTCGTCGCCTCTCCCGGCGCCTCCAGCGTACGCCTACCTCCCGTTCCTGCATCCGCGCCGTTGAAGTTGCCATCGCCCCCGAGGGCATCCGCAAGGTCAGTGATGGCATCCATGGAGCTAGATCGATCAAACCCCGGCGGCGGAGGGCTCGGTAGGGCGAGGTGTGGCGCTGGCCATACCTCGCGCCACCCACTAAACCCCCCAGCCCCGCGGTTTTCTCCGGGCAGGACGCTGAGCCGCAGAGAGCGCGAAGACACTCTGCATCAGATGAGCGACTGGCCGACATGCAAGGGCGCGAGGAGTTGCGTGCGCCATTCGCCTACAGAAAGCCAATTTTTTTTGACAATTTGACCCTTTGCGAAAACTTATTTCGCAAATGAACCGCGGCCAAAACTTATTTAAAAAATGAACACTGACCTCTGCGCCGATGCTGAATGTCGTGCCACCGTGGATGGGAGGCCGACTCGGCGTGCCAACGTGACAAAGCTCAGCGCCACCTGACTCGGCGCTGAGATGGCTAAGGTCAGCGCCGAGTTGTTTGGCGCTGTACTGGCTAACTTAGTCAAGCAGTTAGGTATGGCTTGGTGTAGTGCCAGAGCTCAGTGCCAAATATGTTGGTGCTGAAGTCGGCACTGTCCGTGCCAGGTTATTTGGCGTTGAGCTGTGCATAATAGGATAAAACTTATTTCTTTCAGACAAATTTGGAGTTGAAGTGAACACAACATTAAGTAATCAATCATTCAGTTCATAACCAGTGTGCAACCAAAGCAATGTTGCGATGTAAAAGTCAGAACAAAGCAAACCATGTAGCAGTAGTTAACTAGAGAACAAGTCTTAGCCGTACATCACATTCATTCCATTCTCTATGAACTACATGTCAATCTTAACAACAACCCTTACCAAACCCTAACCAAAACTTCTAACCAAAACCCTAACCAAACCACCCATTGCAACCTACCAAATCCCTCATTCCAACTAGGCTTCATTACCAATCAATCCTATTCCCCTCTAAATTACCCTCTCCCACTCAATTAACCGATAAATCAATTCAACCCTCATCCTTTCAAACCCTCTTTCTTCACCAAACCAAATCACAAAATGCAAAAAGTTTTGGATGGTTTCGAGGGCATTACCTTACACCACAATATCCACCACTAATCCCCTCCCAATCCCCTTGATTCCCCAAGGAATCGAGGAGTATTAGGGCTTGCAGGGGATAGGCGCTGTCATTGTCGCTGTGTGCGTCGCAAGAGGAAGAGAAATGAGAGAGGTTGCCTCTCTTGGCCGGGGCGTGTGGGCCTAAAAGACTCGAAGGTCAGCGCCAAACCGCCTGGCGCTGAATCCTGGCACCTCAGCGGCGAGTCGAGTGGCACTGACCTTTGACACGTCGAATCACCGAGTCAGCCTCGAATCCACGGTGGCAAGGCATTCCGCGCCAGTTGACCTGGCACCGACCTGTGCAAGTTCAGCGCCAGGTTATTTGGCGCTGAGCCACCGGTTTATTTTTGAAATAAGTTTTTGCCACGGTTCATCTGCGAAATTACTTTTTGTAAAGGGTCAAATTGACAAAATTTTTGACAGGAAGCAGGCCAAGGTCCATTAGGCTTGTTTTGTATAAACGTGGCTTTTGAGTATCAAACCCTACACCCAAACTTCTCGAGTTCTCTATCTCTACTTCCATCAAATCCCCTAATACTAGAAGAAGACTTTTACGGTACATTCTACTCAACAATGTAGCCTGAAAACATAATATCCTGAGATCACTCATCGTGATTCTGAACATTGAACAGTAATATAGTGCAGGAGTTAAGCACGTTCTTGTCATCAATACATACAAGCCGTGAATACTAATTGTCACCTAACTAATATTTTCTCCAACACACCAAAATATTAATCAAAATTGAGCCAAGTACAGTGAATATACTAATATCCATAATTTGTTTAAATTAGAAAAATAAGAATATGTCTGAAATATTTAGATGCAGTTATTTGTAAATCCTGTTGTTATTATTCTCCCGGCCAAACACCCTTGTCGCCACCTGCCTATTTCTTGTATGTTGGGATTTCAGTGTTATCATTCGATGCGGAGCCAACCAAAATGGCCGCTAACTTGCGTTTGAAGATCTGTATAGTATGCATATGTATAGTTTTTTAGCCTTAAATTTGAATTGATGGGTTTATATACATGCTTTTGTAGTAAACTACATACTACCTCCGTTTCAGGTTATAAGACTTTCTAGCATTGCTCACATTTATATAGATATTAATGAATCTAGGTTCACATATAAATCTAGATTAATTAACATATATATGAATGTGGGCAATGCTAGAAAGTCTTATAATATGAAACGGAGGAAGTACCTGCTTAAATTTTGTGGTTAACTTTGATCCATTCCAGTGTTCCATACACTTCAGCATGAAGAGACCACATGAAGACCTATAGAAAGATGTTCCTTAACATAACAATTATTTTTGTAAGAAAGATAATTGCATTTAATCCAAGAAGGGTAACATACAAATCTTTCTGCCTAGGTGTGCTTATCACACTAAACACATGCCAAGTCGACAAATCAAAATCCGGCTAGATGGTTTGGTTAGATCTTTCATTGTATCTAGATATTTCGAAATATCTTTCCATTCCTTTCAGCTTTGATCATGCAGGAGATCAAAATATGAATAAATCATAAGCATGTCATTTACTAATAGAAAGCTGTACGGGAGATTATAGGCTCACCACTAATGACAGTTTCGTGCCTGTTTCCCGGTGCTAGGACACGAATTACTCCATACATGATTTTTTCACGCTTTCTAGCCTTCTTCTCATCCCAGTATTGTATCAGTGGTCTGACACGTGCGGTGGAAGGATCTATATGACTCACTCGAAACTTCTCCCAGTACCAAAGCTGCAAGAATTTTTTTAAAAAAAATATGTAGTCACATCATACAAACTTAAACCATATCTGGAATTAAAATTACACGTAGAAGAATTTGGTTGCTCTTAAGATTGACCTTATCATGTTGGAAACTGACGATAGACCTCTTGAGATAGTTTAGGGTTAAGCTAGCCTAGTTGGTTCTCTTTATATCTAGTATATTTATGAGTAGATTTAGGTAATTTGAATGGACGAATCTCTCAGTTGTAGGACATAGGATCAGTATATAGCACAAACTGCCTTTTAAAGTGATCATCAGAAGATCTGTTCAAATTCAATGAATCCCGCAAGGCTGACAGAGTTATCTTAGTCCCCCTTTTGTCTTTATATAATGCAAACATAGCGGCCTTTGTTGCCTGTAGAGCTTCGTTTTTATCTGTCCTTTGGGGCATCAATGTCAACTTGGATTGCTTGTGGGACTTCAACCAGTTCAACACCTTTTGATGGCACGCTGAGCATGTGATCCACATCTTCAATGGTTTGTCTCTAGCATGATTCCATTTATATTGAAAGCTCTAGACTGCTCATCATCATGCCTAGCAATTTGCTTGCATAAAAGTTGGCGAATCTGGACTCCATTCATTTTTGTTAAGCCGGCAAAACCTAGATCATCTATGGCTTGCATCTGTTCTTTGTCTAGAGTCTGTATGAATTTCTAGTAGGCTACTTGTGAACATACTTGCGTTCCCTGCGATAATAAACATCACAATTTAGTTCATTATTGCATAGAGAGTGATCGTAAAGTCAAAAGAATACTTGCTTACCGGTTTGTTGGCTCGAATATTATTCATAGTCATTCTCGGTGGTGGCTCATAGTTGGGCATATCATCGAGGATTATATTCTGTGATGCGATTGGAATAATTAAATCATTTAAAAAAATTTAAACAGTAATGCATGCGTTAATACAATGGAAATTAAGAGATGAAGTGTGGTGCTTGCTGATGAGCCATTACTTCAGCAACTACGAAAATTCAAACTCTAAAATGAGACCAGGGGTTTACTTTCTAACTACGAAAATTCAAAAGCGTAGAACCGGGACTGGGACTGGTCCAGAGAATTAATTCGGTCGTATATTAAGAGTGGTTTAATTTCTAGTTTGTTGTGTACAACACGAATTACAGCCACAGCAATCATCTACCTCGTGTAATTTGTGTGAATGTAATTAGCATACCTAAATAATTAGGTGATGTTTCCTGGACACTTCATGTGGTGTATATATATGTAGTACATCGTCACTTAACTTGATCCATTTCCAGGACGCGAATGACACAAGTTCGTCCAACCACAGGAAGTTAATCACATGGTTGGACGGAATTGTGTGTCATTCGCGTGCATGGAAATGGATCAAGTTAAATGACGATGTACTACATATATATATATATACACCACAGGAAGTGTCCAGGAAACATCACCTAGTTATTTATTTATGCTAATTACATTCACACAAATTACACGAGGTAGATGGTTGCTGTGGCTGTAATTATTTACAATTCGTGGCGTGTTGTACTCAACAAACTAGAAATTAAACCACTGTTAATATACGACCGAATTAATTCTCCAGACCAATCCCTGTTCTAAGCTTTTGAATTTTCGTAGATAAAAAGTAAACACCTAGTCTTATTTTAGATTTTGAATTTTCGTAGTTGCTGAAGTAATGGCTCATCAGCAACCGTCACACTTCATCTCTTAATTACCATTGTATTAACGCATGCATTACTGTTTAAATGTTTTTAAATGATTTAATTATTCCAAACGCATCACAGAATATAATCCTCGATGATACCCAACTGTGAGCCGCCACCGAGAATGACTAAGAATAATATTCGAGCCAACAAACCAGTAAGCAACTATTCTTTCGACTTAATGATCGCTATCTAGGTTTTGGGGGCTTAACAAAAATGAATGGAGTCCAGATTCACCGGCTTTTATTCAAACAAATTGCTAGGCAGGATGATGAGTAGACTAGAGCTTTCAATATAAATGGAACCATGCTGGAGATAACCATTGAAGATGTGGATCACATACTCGGCGTGCCATCAAAAGGTGTTGAACTGGTTGAAGTCTCACAAGCAATCCAAGCTGACGTTGATGCCCCGAAGGACAAAGATAAAAACAAAGCTCTACAGGCAACAAAGGCCGCTCTGTTTGCATTATATAAAGACAAAATGGGGACTAAGATAACTCTGTCAGCCTTGCGGGATTCTTGAATTTAACAAATCTTGTGACGATCACTTTAAAAGGCAGTTTGTGCTATATACTGATCCTATGTCCTACAACTGAGAGATTAGTCCATTCAGATTACGTAAATCTACTCATAAATATACCAGATATAAAGAGAACCAACTGGGCTAGCTTAACCCTAAACCATCTCAAGAGGTCTATCGTCAGTTTCCAACATGATAAGGTCAATCTTAAGGGCAACCAAATTCTTCTACTGGTAGGTGTAATTTCAATATGCTCAAAGGAATTGTGTTTGGGATCTGTGTGACTTGACTTGCAATAGTCGGTCTTCAATTAGTCTTCTGAACCACTTCCGACGCACTCACAAACCTCCAAAACGACGAAAACAACAACTAACACGCAAAATGAGGAAAAAACTAAGAAACTCCAAATAAACGGTACATAAAAAGTAAACAAACATGTAGATAATGATTTTAGATGAATTTAGAGACTTGAACGGCCTCATTCCGACTTCATATGATTTAGTTATGAATTTTACAAGATTAATCTGATTTTAGCCTTGTACAGAAATGGGTTTACTATTTATTTTAGAAAAGGAAAACAAGCGCTGACGTCATCACCGACGAGTGGCTAATCGCCGGCGATCTAGGGCACGGCAGCGCAAACCGAGGGCACCGGAAGAAAGAGCACGATGAGGAGAGCTCACCGAGGGGCGGCACGACGACGAACGTCAACGGGAGATGGCCGGCGACGAGCTTCGAGCGGCGGCGAGATCGGGACGACGGCGACGGCGGTGTTCCGGCGGACTCCGGCGGAGGAGAAAAGGTGAACGGCCTTCTACGGGTCCTCGCGAAGCCAACGGAGGAGACGGCAAAGCCTGGCGACGACGGGAGGGGCGGCAAGGCTTCGCCGGAGATCAAAACACGGCGACGGCTCGGCCTTCACGGTGACGGCGGCTTCCGGCGCAAAAGAACGGGTGGACGAGGTAGAGCTCGGCCTTGCGGAGCCGTGGGAGGTGGCGCCGCAGGAGTACGTCGGCCGAGGCGGCGGCTAGGGGCGGCAGGAGCGACCGCCGGCGGCAAGAGAGAAATGGCTAGCGCGGGGAGAGGCGGCGGCTAGGGCACGGGAGCTCGAGCAAAGGAGGGGAAAGAGAATCGGAGGAGGGGAGAGATCGGTGCGGATTTGAGGGGAATCGGAGGCGGTTTAGCTTAGGGTTCACCGGAAAATAGCAGCTCGAAACCGCGTCGATTCCACGCGATTTAGGGGGGTTTTTTTGGATAAGATAGAGGAGATCGTAGGGAATCCGTTTTTGCGATCATGGAAGGGGAGCAACGGATTTGATGGAGGAGGCGGCGGCTGCAGGGCACGGACACGGGACGGGAGAGAGACGGGAGCTTGAAGACGACACTGTGCAAGGGTCCCATGCGTCATAGAGAAGGAAGGAAGAGGGAGGTAAAGCAGAGTTTGGTCGACGGAGAGACGCGGGCTGCGGGCTGCGGGCTGAGGAGGAAAGGGAGCAGGCCTCGGGAAGAGAGAAAGGAATGGGCCGAAAAAGGCCCAAGCTGAGGAGGAGGATTTTTATTACTTTTCCATATAAATTAACCAATGAATGATCTTTGAATTTTAAAAATAATTCCGAGATGATGAATATTAGTGCTATTTTTTTTTTAATTTCACAAAGTTGCAGTGGCATAGATCCAATTAACCTTTTGATTTTTGGGGGATTTTTTCAGACTTTTATTTTTGCGTGCGGATGACATAAGCACCCGCCATGAAAATCGGGTTTCCGCTTGCTGGTGTGCCACCCGCATAAAAGAATAGTGATTTCTTTTCGAGCAGATGGTTGGCTCAACCGCACGTAAAAATATGTTTTAGCCATTTAGAAAAAATGTTTTCTATAGCAGTGAATGGACCTTCTAGGCATTAGCGAACAGTCCAGGTGGCTAAGACCCCCAACGCTTTCGTCCGATCTGCCATTGTTCTTCTAGGTGTCTTCTGCCGAAGCAGCGACGTCCATGTTCTACACCTCTGCCCTGCCGAAGGAGGAGAAGGACAACGAAGACGGGTGAATGTTGTTAGCCGGAGTCGCAAGATATGTCGAGCACCACACCTCGCCCTACGCCACTAATGATTTAGTCACAATCTCCAAGTACTACATACATTGTGTAGGGTCAGGGTTACTGATATCTTTTTTTATCAAATACTAACCTACATTAATAAAACTATACAATTCTGTTTTCTATTTTCGACCCTGAGGTTTATCCACGTGGCATATATCTACGATTATAGAGCCCACCTCTTCCATTTCTCACTGTAACCGGTAACCGTTAGGACTGTTATAATAGCACGTCTAATAAATAAATATCTTAGTATGCTTTTTTCCCCCAACATATTACTAATATTCTCTCATTTATATTACCATCACCACCACCGTTATCACCAATATTCAGCCCGGACACCCGCATCACGCGGCCAAAAATAACCCTAGAAAAAAAGAAGAGACACAGGCGGCGGCGTCGTCTCCGCGGCAACCGCCGCCACATCCGTGCCTACTCGATCGATCGCCATGCAGCAGCAGCAGCAGGAGATGCCGCAGTCGAGGATCTTCGGACAGCCGCCTCCACCGACGCAGCAGCAGCAGCAGCAGCAGCGGGGATTCGGGTTCGGCGGCGCGGTGCCTTCGCCCCGCGGGATGCCGATGGCTGCGGGGGCCGCGGGGCCGCATCTCGCCGTGCAGCAGAAGCAGCATACGACCACCCTCGCGCCGCCGCCGCCGCCGCAGCAGCAGAATCAGGGATCTTCTTCGTCGGCGCGAGGGATGGCGGCGGCGGCGGAGCAGATCGCGTACGAGGACGCGTGGAAGGCGTGCAACCCGGACATCACGACGCCGTTCGCCTCCGTCGAGGACGCCATCAGCAGGTACATACGCGTGCTTCCCCTTAGCCGATCAATCTCCCTCCTCCTCCATCGATCTCCCGTCTCGCCGCCATCAGCGTTAAAACCTTCTGTGCACACGATTTCTTTAGATATTGCATTCTCGATCTGAAGAGGGGTTTATTTAGAGGATCTGAAATTCTCAATCTACGTACGGTAAACTTCTACTGCTTCCAAAACAATCCATGAACAATTTTAACGCGAGAGTATTTGAGGATCGATATCTCAGAATTGTCCGCGTTGGGTTAGTTCATTAATCTCCCTGTGATAGACAATGGTGAACCCAAATATCGGGTCCTATACAAATCATAACATATACAATACTTTAATTTTAAACTAATAATATTATTGATATAGACTAAAACAATTAATTAAAGATTATAATTTTACACGGATCATGTAGGACTGGAGCTAGAATGAAATAGAGTTGGGGCCACTCGCTTGCTTTGGTCCTTTGAATCAAGTTTAGGTTGATGCACGCGTCTAAATTTGAACCGAGGAGAAAAATTGTGACTGCATCTGTGGGAAGTGGGAACCCCTCGATAAATGTAACTATGCTCCTAGGTCATGTGAATCTGGGTACAAAATAACGTAGGATCGATGGATGAACATGGAAATCAGGGCATGATCATGTACTTTAATTTTTTTTTAACGAACTGGCATTTAGGTGTGAAAATTTCGTTAAATATAGCAGAATTTAAAATGTTTGTACTATAAAAGAAAAACAAAGTTAAGGTAGATCTTGAGAGTGGTAGATTTGGTCCTGCTAAGTCTAAGTTTTAGCCTCTTTCTTAATTTTCGACATAATGGTCAATGGTTACGTCGAGAGTTCTCTATTGTGGAACATAGTGGCGGACCCAACACTAAAATTTAGCTATGGCAGGTAAATATGCTAGGACAAACTACAAAATTAATTATCAACAAAATAATATAAATTCTACTATCTAAAGGTTATGTGTTGCAATGGAGATAGAAGCAAAACAATATAATTAGGTGACTAGGCAGCCATGACCAAAGAATGTCATATTCAAAGTAAAGGCTTTCACGTGTGATCGTTTGGAGACCTTATGGTCCCACATACCATCTTGTGACGTTAGAGGCGGATTTGGACACCACCACTAGTATCATTTAAAGTACTATAGATACACAAACCCTATTATAAATATGCTTATATATTACTTTATTAGAATATATGGCACTAAATACAATCAACAACTACACTCTTACTGTGATTATTATTTGGCCTAAATTTGTCATGTAACTATTATCAGCGAAGTGACTTTTGCAAGTGTTTTCGTGTTTCATAGACATGCTTTACTTATATTTTCTCTTTTCCCACACTCCGACTGTGCCTATGCTTAAGCAACGGTCAGGCCGGTCAATAGTTCTTCTGAAGGAAAAAAAAAAGGCATTGAACTAGTGGGCATTCACTTATTTTAGCATTTTCATTTTACTGGTTAATATTTTTTTGTTGGACTATTAATTCATTAATTTATTTTTTGCAGAAGAAACACCATAAATCGTTACTTCCAATTAATTAAACATATAAATGTCTAATAAATAGCCAATTAATCACTTGATTAGCATATAAAAATCAAAGTCCACACGGCCAATGGCTATTCCCCCTACTTCCTTTGCTTGTGACATATAGCTATGGCCAACTCCATGACTTTCCACAAGAGAAGGTCGGCCATCTTGGAACTTAGATCTGGTTTCTCTAGAGCTTCTTTTGTATTTTCTATGTCGTTAGTAGAACTAGTGAGGGTGTGTATTCTTGTTCATTTTTTTAAGTCCCGGATTAATTTTTCGTTTCACGTTGTCAAGACGACATGGTTTGGAATCTATTGTTTGGTTAGCTTCATTGAGCACAATGCATTGTATTAACGGGCCGGGGACAAAAACTCATTAGGAGTTTTTGGTCAGGGCATCTGGGGACGATAATAAGTGAGTTTAGAACATTAGGATCAATCTCTGAAACTATAATTTCTGGAACCGCACCTCGGAACATATATATAAACTTGTGTTGTCTCTGTTAATTAGAAACTAAATTATAATTATGACATGTTAATGGTCAATTATTTTTATCACCAAACATTTTCACCTTCTTTCGTTCATATATCAATGGACGTATGTAGGCATGTAGCTCAGAATATTTAATACTTACCCGAGACTGATGCTGTCATGTATGTATGTTCACTGTAAAATAGTACTCCCTCCGTATTTTCATGCACGACGTCGTTAACTTTTTTATTAACGTTTTACCATTTGTCTTATTCAAAATTTTTATGTAAATATAAAATTAGTTATGTCATGCTTAAAGAACATTTAATGATAAATCAGGTCATAATAAAATAAATGAAAATTACATAAACTTTTTGAATAAAACGAATGGTCAAACGTTGGTAAAAAAAATCAATAACGTCATACATTAAAAAAAATGGAGGGAGTATGTAGTATATGTACGTTATGTTTGATGAATAATATATCAAGTACGTGTTCTTGTTGCCAATCTTTGAATTCCGAAAATTGCACCAAGAAGTTTCTTACATCTGCTGAAATCTGTACAGTAACAATGTTGTCTCGATTTGTTCATGCATGGATTGATTCGCCTGCAGGCTGCTTCCGTACCACGTGTTCGCGGAGTACGAGGAGGACGAGATCTACGCGGAGGACCAGCCGCCGGCGAAGGACACGTCGAGCGTGCAGGAGTGGGACGACGACCGCGAAGCCGAGGCGATCCGCATTGCGGAGGAGTTCGAGAAGCAGGTGCTGACCTTCAACGTGGCCGTCCGGAAGTCCGCCGCCGGCGCCGCCCGCGCCGAGGAGCGGCTCATGGTGGAGAACCTCCTGCTCGCCGACGAGCAGCGGCAGTCGGAGCACGTCCGCGCCCTCGTCCGGCAGCAGCAGCTAGTGGCGCTGCAGAAGCAGCAGCAGCAGCAGGAGAAGGAGGCGGCGGCGCTGCAGCGGCAACTCATGCTGGAGCAGCAACAGCAGCAGCAGGCGGCGCTGCAGCAGATGATGGCGATGGAGCAGAGGCAGCAGCAGCAACAGATGATGTCAGCGCTGCAGCATCAGCGACAGCCGGCGATCGTCATGCCGCAGCAGGGGCATTCGTCCGCCGCCGCATTGGATGCGTTCCTGGATGCGTACGCTGAGGTGGGGCCGCCGCGACAGCAGCATCGGCATGGCGTGCAGGCGCCGCAGCAGCCGGAGTCGTCGTCGACGTCGGGGCCGGCGTACTGGGCTCCGGCGCATGCCGTGCCGCCGCCGCCGGAGAATGGCGCCGGAGCATTGAGGGAGTAAGGTGGTTGGTCCATTGGTGTTGGTTTCTGTTGACATTGCTAGGGCTTCAGTTCAGGCCTGATTCGTGCGAGTGCGAGACTTTGATGTTGATGTGTTGATGGAGCATGTGAGACTCTTTCGTCCGTGTTGGCGACGAAATGCAGTTGTGGCATGTAACAAGACCAAAAAGTTTATTCAAGCAGTTTTTTTTAGAAATTTAAGACATTTTTGTTGATTTAACTTGACCTTCCTTGCATGGTTACTGTGTGTAGAGTACAACTTCAACTAGATATTGGTGAAGGTCTGAGCTAGCTAGCTGCAGGTCCTATTATTTTCAGCTCACGAATTGCGGGCACGTTTCCTAGTTCCTACACTCCTAAAATATCATGATTTTTTAAATAATCACGGGCATGTTTCTAAACTAAAATGTCATGATATTTTGTAAAAAAAACCCATCAAATTTTGTCAGGAAACTTTTCTAAAGCTAAATGTGGAATGGGATGATCATATATTGTAAAAAATCTCAAAAAGTAGAGGGGAAAAGTGGGGAAATTATTGTCGAAATGTGTAGCTAGCCAGTTAAATTAAGAACACTGGCTAGTGGCTACTGTGTATCACTCTGCTTGTTTGGCACGTGCGAACATAGCATACATTAACACAAGTTTAAACTACGTGCGTACATCAGCTATATTATATAGCCATATCACTTATCCGCAAGGTTTTAAATCTTTACCTATAGCTGCTGCTATTTCTCACTGTATAGCTGTTTGAGAAAAGTTTTAGTTATTTACTCTCGTGTACAATTAACCACTATATTTTTATTTAGCTCATTATAATTGTCGCTGTAGCTGTTTGAGAAGGCTACACTAAATGTTTTGGCCCGTTATTTAAAACACTTCTTATTAGTCAAGATAGTACCAGAGCCAACCACACCATCTAGTCTAGACGATAAAGTGATTTTTCTTAGTTGTTTCTAGTGGAAAAACACGAATGATCACCTGATTAGTCCGGGAGGTAGTTCAAAAATACTCTCCAAAACCAAACAAAATAAAGAGAGAATAATAACTACACTTGTTGTTTATACCATTGCTCGTTAGAAAAGAAGAAGATGATGGTGATATACACATAAGTAAACTTTCAACCGATCAAATACAATCAGGAGTGGGGAAAAAGTATTTTACAGGAGATAATGCACCGAACTAGCACGATGGCATCTTTACCGTTACATTGATTGCAATCGCAATCTCCTCATGTTACCTACGTTTTATTAATAGTTAGAGTTACAAGGCAACATCAATATTTACAAGGAGTTATATATAACTTATATATTTTTGAAACCACACCGATTGGGAAAAACCAATATTATATTATTACTCACCATTATCATTCTTATCAAATGCTAACCTGCAATAATAAGACTATACAATTTTTTTTCCTATTTTTGACTCTTATTGAGGGTCGCTTATTCACGTGACATATGTCACTCTATACCATAAAACCAACCTCTTCCATTTCTCACGTAACCGTTAACTGTTAATAGCGTGTCTAATAAATATCTTATTAGGCTATTTTTCTCCTATCTTATTAATATTTCCTCATCTATAGTACTACCAAATTACCAATCACCACCACCATTTCTCACCAAATATTCAGCCCGGAGACCACATCATGCGACCAAAAGAAAATCCTAGGAAAAACAAGGGAAAATTGGAACCATGCCATTATAATTTTGCAAAATTTGAGATATACCATCCTAACCCACATGTCATTGAGATACCCTACACGTCATTGAGATACCGATAACATATCTCAAACTTTACAAAATTATAATGGCATGGTTCCAAATTACCCGAAAAACAAAGGGGGAGACAGAGCGGCGGCGTCGTCTCCGCAGCAACCGCCGCCACATCCGTGCCTACTCGCTCGACCGCCGTGGAGCAGCAGCAGCAGCAGGAGATGTCGCAGCCGACGCAGCAGCAGCGGGGATTCGGATTCAGCGGCGTTGGAGCTGCGGCGGCGGCGGCGGCGCCTTCGCCTCGCGGGATGCCGATGGCTGCGGGGGCCGCGGGGCCGCGTCGTCTCGCCGTGCAGCAGAAGCAGAAGCAGCCGGCGCTCGTGCCGCCGCCGCCGACGCAGCAGCAGACTCAGGGATTCGGTGGTGTCGGGGGGGCTGGAGCGGCGGCGCTGGTGGTGGGATCTTCTTCGTCGGCACGAGGGATGGCGGCGGCGGCGGCGGCGGAGTGGATGGCGCACGAGGACGCGTGGAGGGCGTGCAACCGGGATTTCGCGACTCCCTTCGCCTCCGTCGAGGACGCCATCAGCAGGTACGCCGTACGCGTGCTCCCTCCCTCCCCCTGCGCCGATCAATCTCCCGTCTCACCGCCATCAGCGTTAAAAACCATTTCTCTTCATGTGCTGCTGCTGCTCTGTCGTAGTCTGTACACCGGACACGACTTCTTTAGATATTGCGTTCTCGATCGATCTGAAGAGGGGTTTATTCAGAGGATCTGAAATTCTGAACCGCCGCCAAACTTGTTCTGCTTGCAAATCAAATCAATCCATGAACAATTTTAACGCGAAAACATTTGAGGATTTTTCAGAATTCTGCACTGCGTTAGTCCATATATATCCTTAGGATGAATGAACAGTGAAAAGGGACGATCAGCAATGCTCATTTTTCCCTTTTTTTTGATTTTTTAACGAACCAGCTCGTTTTTTTAGTATAGCAGTCGTACATGGGTCTGTACTGTGCAAGGAGAAACAAAGTTAAGGTATTATATATAGGACCCAAGTTTTAGGCTCTTTCATGATTTTCCACCCATGAGGGCTTACCTTTGAGAGTTATATGTATTGGAACTTTCTCTCTCCTTCCATATTTCCACGCCGTTAATAGAATTAGGGTGCATATTAATTTTCTTTTCTTTAGCCACGGACTAATTTTCCATTTTAAGTCATTCTGACTTCTAACGGTGCGGTTAAAAAACCGGTACCTATAATATATATAGTATAGGTACCGGTTAATTAAAAACCGACACCTATAATATATTATAGGTACCTGTTTTTAAACTCATCAAACCGAGCTGGCGAGACTGCATCCTTATCCACACCGAGACGCTCCTCTCTCTCTCTCTCTCGTCAGATTCAGATCAACCCCCCCCCCCCTCCTTTGCCTCCTCTGCCACCAGTCTACTTCCCCCTTCCCTACTCCCTCGTCGCCTCCTCCCCCTCCGTCTCCGTCAGCTTCTCCCTCCCCACTCCCTTGCCGCCTCCCCTTTCCCTCCCCCACTTCCTCCTCCCTTCTCCCTCTTCCCTTCCGGTGGCGCTGGCCAAGGACGGCGGCGGTGGCCACAGTGGCACCCATGGCGGTGGCCGAGGGCGGCGGCGGCCAAGGCAGTAGCTAAGGGCGGCGGTCACGGCAGTGGGTAAGGGAGGTGGCCAAGGGCAGCGGCAGCCAAGGCGATGGCTAAGGGCGGTGGTAGTGGTGGTGGAGGTGGCCCTCCCTCTGCATCCATCTCCCCCTCTTCTCCTCTTCCAGATCCAGCGGACGGCGATGGTGGTGGAGGCGGCCCTCCCTCTGCATCCACCTCTCCCTTTCTCCAAAGGTAGAGAACAACACCGGTGCTGGCGGAGGGCAAGGTGGTGGATCCGCGTATTATATATGCTACTAAGAAACCTTTACACTGTCTCTGTGCATGTGCATATGCGAAGGTTCATAGACACCACTCAATGGGATGCTTTTGCATGATGAGCACCATGACCAGCTTGAATCATACGGCAAAACAACACGATGGTAGTAGAGAATGTAGAGAGAAAATGAATGTTGTTCCTTGTATTTACAAGGATTACCCCTAACTCTTTTATATACCTCGGAAGACCACTTGTCTGGTGCTACGCGGCGTCAAAGCCGGATCAGCTCCGAGAGAAACAACCGCACTTACTCATGTCACTTGAAGTTAAGTCTTTAGGTGATTGATACAAGGAGATATTTCACCGAGAAATCAACAAAGGTTGCTGCATCTGCATGCAAGCATCCATCCATCTAGCACAGACTCATCGTACGGCTAATATTTGACACCGTTGACTTTTTAACACATGTTTGACCATTCATCTTATTTAAAAACTTTTGTGAAATATATAAAACTATATGTATACATATAAGTATATTTAACAGTGAATCAAATGATAGGGAACAAATTAATAATTACTTAAATTTTTTGAATAAAACGAATAGTCAAATATATTTAAAAAAAGTCAACGGCGTCAAATATTTAGAAACGGAGGGAGTACATTGAAATAATATACTTATAGACATTAATTATTTGGCAGAATTGGTTATATAGTATCGAAAATTGACGTTTTTGGTTTTATAGCACCGAAAGATACCGGTTCACTTTAATAGCACTCAAAGTTTACCCCGTTCCCATTTTTAACACTTTCGTCAATTCTCGATCGTTTTCCGTCTGTCTTGATCGTGATTGACCCAGCCACACACACGATATTTTCAATATCTACAGTAACAATGTTGTGAATTTGTTCATGGATTGATTTGCCTGCAGGCTGCTTCCGTACCACGTGTTCGCGGAGTACGAGGAGGACGAGATCTACGTGGAGGACCAGCCGCCGGCGAAGGACAAGTCGAGCGTGCAGGAGTGGGATGACGACCACGAAGCCGAGGCGATCCGCATGGCCGAGGAGTTCGAGAAGCAGGTGGTGACCTTCAACGTCGCCGTCCTGAAGTCCGCCGCCGGCGCCGCCCGCGCCGAGGAGCGGCTCATGGTGGAGAACCTCCTGCTCGCCTACGAGCGGCGGCAGTCGGAGCACGTCCGCGCCCTCGTCCGGCAGCAGCAGCTGGTGGCCCTGCAGAAGCAGCAGCAGATGATGGCGGAGCAGCGGCAGCAGCAGCAACAGATGATGGCAGCGTTGCAGCAGCGCCAGCAGCCGGCGACGATCATGCCGGCGCAGGGGCATCCCGACGCGATGGATTTGTTCCTGGATGCGTACGCCGCCGGCGAGCAGTCGGCGTACAGCTGGATGACGGCGGCGCATGCCGTGCCGCAGCCGCAATCGCAGCCGCGGCAACAGCAACCGGATGCATGAGAGGCAGCAGGTGGGTGGTGGTGCTGGTTTTTTTTATTATTATTATTTTTTGTCGATGTTGCTTCGTGATTCATGAGAAACTATGATCGAGCAAGATGAGCAAATGCGACTTATTCGTCTGTGTTGGCTTAGAGCAAATGCAGCGGCTGTGGCATGGGAATGGGGAACGTGATGATTCTCTTCGAGTAACAAGACCAAAAAGTTTGTTCGTGTGGCTTTTCGAAATTTAAGACATTTGTGTTGATTTAAGTTGACCCTTCTGCATGGTTTCTGTGTAGCAGTCGTCCCCCTCCAAGCTCCAACCAAAGTAGACCACGCCCTCGGTCCTCCATCCTAGAAAAAACTCACCCTCGTACTGGATGTTGACACTTATCCAAAGTCAAAAGTATCAGAATGTGTCAACATGTAGTATGAGGTAATTTTTTTTTTTCAGAGGGAGTACTCAACTAGGTATTAGTGAAGTGGTCTAACCTCATGTCGTATATTAGGTCTAATTTATACTCCCTTCGTTTTAGATTATAAGACGTTTTAATTTTGGTCAAAGTTAAACTGTTTTAAGTTTGACTAAATTTGTAGAAAAGAATAACAACATTTTCAACTCAAGACAAATTTATTATGAAAATATATTCAACTATTGATTTAATGAAACTAATTTGGTATTATTAATATTACTATATTTGTTTATAAATTTAATCAAACTTAAAGTAGTTTGACTTTAACGAAAATCAAAACATCTTATAACCTAAAACAGAGGGAGTAGTAGATAATTTTTTTTATCGACTCTGTGTACCAGTTTGCCCCTTCCAACCAAAGTAAAGTACACAACTGGTCTGAGCTGGTTTTAGTAGTATTAACATTTTAGTAACCAACTTTAGAATTAGAACAGATGTACTTTACTAGTGTCCTTTGGTTTTTTTTTTCTTTTGAAATCGCTCAATCCAGTTACATTTGGGCCCATAGTAGTAGTAGTAGGGTCAACACTCAATAGCAGTCCAGTTTGCACAGTTTAGTCCACGCCCAAGTCCTGGGTCCCAATTGTTGGGCCAGATTAGATCTAGGCCTCGTTTAGATGGGCCAAAATATCAGCCCATTCTTGATTATGACTACAGCCCAGTGTCACTTATATGTGATACCGACTGTTCTTCTTTTTTTCTTCCTAGCTATAGCGACATTCAAGCCCCACGTCGGACAAAACCACGCTACGCAATCGCCCAGTTGGATGAAATCTCCATCAAAACACCGCTCGTGGAGGCAAAATGCACCAGTATTAACAATTGAGGGAGGCTCTATATCTAGTTTTATGGTTAAGAGATGTGAATTAAATTCGGGCTATGCTTGAGGATGGAAAATTGGACTTTGTCCTTTTTTTAATTCAATTTTCCTATGTGTTGGATTGACTAGCTTTGACTTTTGAGGCTCTTCCAAACAAACCCAAGTGACACATACGAATATTATTACCTTTTTGTATTATTATTTGAAGACATGCTAACATTGTTAAAGACGATTTTCCAAGAGAAGATACATATATAAGGAATATTTCACATTTTTTTCCATAAAAAGAATATCGGGATACGAGAATTGAACTCAAGTCTCTAATAGAGTGCACAGATTTAACTTTTGACGTCTTGCGTCTATGATAAAATGTCAATGTTATTGACACTGAAAGTACTAAAATGAAATCAGAGAGCGTGTCTTCTCTTCATGCTACCCTCTTTCCCGTTCATCCTCGTAAATGTAAGAATTTTTACGATATTTTCGTAGGAATTAAATCTATTTTTCTAAAATATCTTCACTCCAAAGGGTGCCAAACGATAATATCTATATCTCGTAGACACGGATCCTCCGTAGTATAACTACAGGAGCAGCCACTAGGGCCCACACATCAGCGATGGCTACTGCAGGTGTAGCATTACATACAATCTCCACTTATCTCTCTTTTTTTCAGAAGATAATATCCACCGTATCTCATACCTGATGCAATTTCTTTAAAACAGGAGACATGTGGCAACATCACAAAGGCCATCCATGATTTCTGCCGTAGCTATTCGAAAAGCTCATCCATAACTTGGGGCATGACTAACTTGGACACATGATCTCACTCATTCTGATGGAAGCAAACCAGGTAGAAGAGCCAGATGAGAGTGGAATTGCATTCGGATTGGAAGGACCGATCAGCTTAAAAGTTCAGAAAAATTGACACCGCGACATAGACTGATGACTGGTGTACCAGTGACGGGCATCAACACAGAATCTCAAGTGAAAAATGGACCAAACTCCCAGTTGGCTCACCAAGAAACCTCAAAATTCTGAACTGAACTGAACTTGACACGGAAAAACAACCAACTTCTTCCTCCAGAACAGCATGTATGTGTATATTGTACATCATATAGAAACATTTTGTTGGGTAAAACAGACAAGCAACCGACCGAACGACATCTATTTTTCCCTAGCCGCAGAGGGACGAACTCTCTGTAGTATCTAAGCTTACAATTACAATACAATCTCACAACACATCGGACTCCTCTGGCACCAGATTTTCTTCAATCTTCTCTCCATTCGTTGTCTCTCTGCATAATTTTCACGGACATACAAATTATTGTCGATGGAGTTGACACTGAACCTTCATAGTATGGTACATGAGCAGCGAGTGGTCTTTGGCAACTTGTTGGTCTTCTTGTCTGCCACAACAAAAAAGGGGAAAAAAACAGAGAAAACAGAATCCGGGTTTCATCAGATTTTAGCATGTGCTGTTGACAATTGAGACTGTAACATGTGTAACTTGCAGTCCCTATTACCAGAATCATTACCTCAGTGTTCATTGACTGAAATACTAAAATAGAACATGTTCATATCGTTTGTATAAATGAGCATTCTTGGCAAACAGTTGGCCATCACAGTTCAACTAGCTTATGACTTCAAATTACATAGCACAAAAAAAAATCGCTAAGCAGTAACCAAGAGAACAGCACTAAAATCAGAGTAGAAGAGGGATAATCCATAGTTCTAAAATGTTAAAAGGAAGTTCTTCAATAGTACACATTAGTCCTATCACATCCTTACTTTCTTACTTAGTCTCTAAAATAAAATTAACACAAAAAAGGTCTAAGTTGACATATATATGAATGTACAAGCTAAACTTTACGGTTAGAATTATGTAATTTTTAAGTGCTCCATATCTATGAATGTTCAATTAAAAAAACTATCCTTTCTTAAAAAAATATCACATCATGTACAATTTTATTTTTATCTGCAGCAGAGCCATGGGGATTTAGCTAATATAGCTTACACTAGCAAACTAATATTTTGGCCAAGGCATGCTTTTGAATCCTGGACAGCCTTCAGAAAATAAACAACAGGTTAGACCATTTCTTTGGTCACATCTTCTAATACAATGCTAGCCGACTTATTTCCTGCACAATTGTGTGCCGCTAGATCATACTCCCTCCATCTAAATTCGTAGTACTAGGATATGTCCCATCCATCCAAAATCCCTTATATACTAGGACGGAGGGAGCATTTTAATATTCACTATGAATTATAGTTATTGAGAGAATTTATTTCGGTATTCCTATGGACCTTAAATTGCCAAAAAAAAAAGCTGTTAAGAATTTCAGCTATATAATGTATTTTACATGGATTATTTTTCTTTGATGTTTTAATCCAAACTTGTATTGTATTTGAATTGTATCTTTAATATTTATGAATATGTAACAGCACCAAAATGAAAATGGTAAATTTATAGCTTTGAGAGTTGAGAGCAAATGTGTAGGGTCCTTTTTTACCTTTTTTTAATTACGTAACAGTAACACTGTTCATGGTGCTATATTTGACAAATCTGATATAGTGGCATATTTCAAGTATAGGCAGTTTGTTGTTGCCTTTGGCCAATTCCAAAAGTGGTGATTACTAGAGGGAATCAACCGGAAAACAAAACATATGCCCTGGCAGGAGAAGCCCTAGTAACAGCTTTGAAACAGCGAAGGAAAGGTCATTATTTTAACTACTCCATCCAGTCATATTAAGCTGATGCCAGACAGCTGCTGTCAACTCTGTGTGGCATCAACTATTAATAACCAGAGGTAGTACATATTGCAGGATAGCTGACAGCTTACTTCGCTGATTCCTAAACAGAAATCTCGAACAGTTCCAAATTTAATGTCATCTCAGTGATATTTTAAGAAAAAGTTCACTTCAGGAAATCAATGAAATCTATTGCACTCAACTTTTGCCAAAACAGATTTGGCAAAATATGAATTATGAATTAGTGAAATCATAATAAACAGAGAGAACAAATCCAGAGTAAGCAAGAGAAACAATTTACTCCCTGGTTATCATGATTGTTAACACAAGCTATAAATCTAGACTATGTCAAGCAGTCCAACATACTTTCTATGAAGTAATATAGCTCACCAGGTTTTGATTTGGCTGATGATGGCTGCACAACAACGTGCATTGTGATAGCAGTGCTCGGAAGATCACCAAAAGGTGCTCTGCACTGCGCAATGTTCTTGTCGTTTTCTAGAATTTTTCCTCCACTTATCAGTTTGACATCATTAGCAGTCTTCGGGACAATTGTTTTATCTACAACCAAATCATTGCAGAAATTAGAAGCATCGCACAAATATATTACAGATAAATATTATGAACATGTGTATAGCAACACATATGCTTGTTATGGGGAAAAAAAAAACTACCCACATACATTCGCGGGGGGGGGGGGAGGGATTTTGTATTGTATAAACTATCAATGTACGGTCCAGAGTGAAGGTCAGTAGGTATTGTATCACATCAAAACGAAATGAAGTATCGGAGAAAGAGCAAATGTGTATCATGAAAGCAGCTATTGTTACCAAAACACTTTCAATGAGACAAGAACAAAACACAGTGTCCCATATTATTTATATGTGTGCAAGAAAAAACATGGAAATGTATTGGGCAAAATCAGAACTAACACCACAGGATGGCAATATCTTTCAGGCTCCTACCAACTGAAGTAGAGAATATGGTGTGCTCTCTCATGGTCTCATCCTCCTGTGTGGATGTGACAAGGATTTGATGAGAATAGGATAGCTGCCAACAATGCAATACGTAACCTCAGCTTGAACACCATGAGTTCTCTTGGAACTTTGCGTGTTGCAAAGCTTCATGGCCTTCCTATTTTGCTCTCTACAGGCTACTCTGCTGCAGCCAACCTCTTCAATGCTCCATAGCAACAATCCTGAACACTGCCGACTATCTCAGATGCTTGGGCATCACGTCAAGCTCCAGAAGCTTTTCTCCTCTTTTAACAGCATCCTAAAATGAAATGATGCGACCATGCCTGTTCAGGGAGTCCGAGTGAATAGTTGCACATATGCATGAACCTAAGATGCCTTGCATAACTTTTGATTGCGTTGAGCCAGTTCGATTAATCGATTGAGGGGGATCGGAATAGGATTTGTTTTTAATCAAAATTAAATCCCAACCTAATCCTCCTCATACATCCAACGGGCAACCATAAACACATTACCATCTCTTCATCACATTACGCTATGGTCCCGATCGCAACCAAAACATCCCACCAGCCAATCCCACTTAGGTACCAGAGACCATCATGAATAATACGCATTAAACACCCGCCAATTTAAACTAAACCTCCATTTAGAATATCAATAAAACAAGCTTTGCTAATAATAGGTGCACCCCACCCCCCACAATTCTTTTCCCCGAATCAGAGACAAGTGTCAAACCATCTAGTCATCTCACTACTAGTCACTAGGCTAAGCAAATCTAACGAAGCAAGAATCTATCTATCCCCAAGTCAAAGGAGCGTTACTACTATCTCCTCCTCCCGTCGCCGCGCGCCGCGAAACAAATACTAGCAAAGCAAAATCAAGGATCCCTCTACCAATTCAGCACCACGGATCACGCAGGGGACAGTGAACAGCTAGAACCCGGGGGGTGATCCGGGGAGAGACCGGAGAAGCAAACCTTTGGGCCAGTCGGCGACGACGCGGTCCTTGAGGGCGGCGACGGTGGTGGCGACGGCGTTGCAGCGGAGGGGCCCGATGTCGGAGCCGTCGAAGAGGCGGAACTTGACCTCCACCTCCTCGTCGGCCTCCGCCTCCGCCCCACCCTCCGCCGCCACCTTGCCCTCCTCCTTCTCCGCCATTTCTTGGCCTTCCCCCCTTCCCAACCCCCAACCACGGCCTCACCTCCTCCGAGCTCCCCAACTGGCGACTCGTCCCACCGCGAGGCTGCTCCGAACTGGAGCTCGTGAGGCTGGAGATGGATTGGGCTGCTCGTGCTAGGGTTTGGTGGGAGGCGAGGAGGAGGAGGAGGAAGAAGAGGGTAGGAGAGGAGAGGAGGGCTCTCTCTTTTCCTTTGGAAGGGAGGAGGAATTTCTCTTTCCTTTTTGCCTCTAAAGCAGGGGCCTTTCTGCTATAAAAACAAAGTACGGGTGGTATGAATAAAGATTCGGTTAAATTTTTAAAACTTCAATAGATTTCAGTAGAAAAATATTATAGTTTTTTAATTTTAATCAAATTTACGGAAAAATATGTCAATATTTTCGATACAAAACAAACATACTATCAAAATACATTAAATGCCAGTTTTAGTGAAATTAATTTGGCGTTGTAGATGCTGCTAAATTTTTCTATAGTTTGATCAAATTTAAGTAAGTTCAACTTAAAAAAAAAATCAAAACAACTTATAATATAAAAAACGGAGCGAGTAGTAAAGATTGATGATAGGAATTTTTTTAAAAAAAATTGCCTTGAACATCAAGTATTCATGATATTGGAGTAAATAGTTGTTTCTTTACTACAAAATCAGGAGATTTATTTTCCTTATGAGGTGATTCTTACTCATGATGACAAATATACAGTGTTAATATATGTATAGGCATATTTAGTATTTATTATCGCAGTGATATGGATGTGATTGTGTGGCAAGAAATCGAATATATAATTATCCCTTCTGAAAACTTTTCTACAAGGGAAGAGGGTTCTCTCTCCTTTGCTTTGTAAGGCAGGAGGAATTTCTCTTTCCTTTTTGCCTCTAAAGCAAGGGCCTTTCTGCTATAAAAATAAAGTACGGGTGTTTTATAGCATTCCATCCTGCATGTGAATATTTAACGTTTCTGATGAGATTCGGTTAATTTTTAAAAATTGATTCTTGTTAGATTTTGAAAACTTATTGTAATGTATAATCGATGACCAGGATATCAAAAGTTCTCTTGTTAAACGTCAAGTATTTATGACGCTGAAGGAAATAGTTGTTTTTTAATTACAAAATCAGAGGGATTTTTTTCCTTGATTAGGTTATTCTTCTTACGCATAATAGCAAAGATATACTAATATATATATGTACACGCATGTAGGCATATTTATTACTACCTAATACGTAAAATGTAAATCACGCGCTCTCGATTTCTTCCTATCCAGTGACGCACAGTGATCCATCTGATCGGCCGAGGATGCTCTAGATACGACGGCGCTCTCTGTGTTACTCTACTGAAAATATATACTAATAGTCCATCAAGCAAATAGGAATCACCTATGCTTCAAATAAATTTTTCTCTTAAATTACACCTCCGATCTATGATCCGATTACGCCGTTCTGTTCATAACAATTAAATCTTTATAACAAGATCTCACATGGTTATATTTTGATGAAAAATTATAAATTACTTTTATAATATATCTAAATTACTTTTAGATTTCACTAAATTACTTCTTAGACATATAAAAGTAAATTTAGTAAAGTCTCGAAGTAATTTACACAAATTATAAAAGTAACTTAAAACAAAAAGAAAGTAACTTTGTCACGATATTAGAAGTAAATTCGTTGTAGGGATAAAAATATGACTCTACCTAGAAATTAAATTTAATCAGCACAGATCAGCACAAGTAAGTTTAATAATTTTTAAAAGTAATTAACTTCAATGTTAATTAGAAGTAACTTTTGCATGGTTCAGAAGTAACTTTATATAAATCTGTTTTAAACACTGATTGTTTTTTCCCTTTCACTTTTGTTTTTCATGTAGTATGAGAAAAGAAGATAAAATCTTTGATGAATTGTAAATAGCATCGATGGAGTAACTAATGAGAATTAATCATATATATGATGTAAAAGCATAGGTTACTTCCTAACATGTAATAAATTACTTTTAAATTAACAAAATGTTTAAATATATTTAATATGGATCTTGTTTTGTCCCATATTCTAAGTGTAGCATAATGGTGCAAATAGATTTTAAAAACAATATGTGATTTAAAAGATATAAGTTATTAAAGAGGTTTAAAAAATGCACACACTATTGTATTTATACTTGATAACTTGATAGAGTGATAGCTGGGTAAGAGAAACCAGCTACCAGTAGCTATCTAGTCACGTGCTATTTATTACCACGGCAATGTGGATGTAATATATGACAAATAATTTTGGAATAATTGGCTCTTTTGAATTTTTCTCGGTTGATTTTACCTCTAGTTGTAACAATGAAAAAGCGTGTTTTCGTTTTAATTTTCTCCCTTCTTGGAGCTTTTAAACATCCTACAAAATCAGCCAGAGAAGCTACAAACCTTTTTGGGCTGAAGACGCTTGAATGTGCCAGCTTAACTGAGAAAGTGACCCAAGTTTGTTGGGTGTGTCTTATCTAACTTCCAGAAATTTTCTGGCACTTTTTTGATGGACTTTTTGTTGGAGAATTTTTGGGCTTATATTCTTTTCAGAAGATGAAACTTGGGCCAGGGTAGCACGGATACTCAAAGCCCAGCAAAACCGGGCTTGTCAGCCTAACTGGGCTGGTAGGCTAGATTATTAATGGATTCAATCACTGCTGGCCTGCTGCTAGTGCCGCTTTTGTCAGGCATTTGGAAATTATGCAATTTTGCTCTAGTTTTTTTTTTCTTATAGTGCAGTCTTTACAACAACAACAAATAAATAAACAAATAATCATGATCAAGTGCCTTAATAAAAACTATGGTGTAGTACTTAGTAACCATGCACCATAAATTTATAGTCAATCTTGCGTCCATGTATTTTACTTACATTCAATCTTGCGTCCATGTATTTTACTTACATTCAATCTTGCGTCCATGTATTTTACTTACATTCGCAAGTATTTGAATGTGGTGTATGTCATTGTGTAGTGGTGTTTGCGCACGTGCGTATTCTATGTAATAAAAAAATTAGACAAACCTGTGAAGTTTTCCTTTGTTTAATTACTAGTATATATATTTATATATGATCATGCATGTTCCCCTAGCTTGAGCTAAGATCTAGCTTAGAGTAATCATCAACAACGAAACAAGATGATCGATCAAAATCCCATCTGAAGACTGAAGGATAGACAACGTACTTCAGTTGAGGGCTTGAGGTACCCCTGATCAAAGTACTGTGACATGCATGCATGTATTCTCCGATCGAGTGCTTTTTTAGGCCAAATTATTGATCTAATACTGGTACATTAGCCACTAAACATGGAGAACATGTCCCTTTGTCACTGTCCTTGCAAGGAGAGAAACAAGAGGCTCCTGTCAAGCTCTAAAACTAGTGCAACCATGCCTTTTTGGCCTAATTAAACAACAAATTAAGACTATTTTCCCTTTCCTCAAACAAATTAAGACTCTTTTCCCTATACTATATGGTCCCAAATATTGGAGATGAGGAGCATCGACTGCATGCTAGCTAGGGCACAGGATAATGCATGTGGTTGGGCCCACTCGAGCTATAGCATGGTGATTGGTGAGTGATGTCACACAGGCAATACTAGCTAGCTAGGCAGGCATAGACACTGCATATATGCATGCCTCTTTCACTGTGGCCAATGTGTAGTGTTGATCGATCTGATTTGGTCTCCTAGAAACAGATGATGCTCATATGATTGTGTAAGTGTAGTAGCTAGCCGTTGTTGGGCTTTGCAGTACTGTTTGTTGCCTCAATGACTTTGTTCCCTGTGGATGTGTGGCCGGCCTAAGGAAGGAGTGTTACAAAGTAAATTCTTCCCATGGAATTAGGCTAACGCCCTCTAGAATGGATTGAATTGCCTAAATTAAGCACAATTGAAGATAAATTAACAAGAGGGAATCTATTTTATACCACTGAGTTTATACTAGTTCAACAATTTGTCACTGACATTGGCTCTTTCTATAATATATCAACGACTTTATCAATTGTTCTGCAATTCGTCATTGAGCTGGGCCTTATTCTAAAAGATACCCAAAATACCTTTATGTGCATATAAGTTTAACGATTGATTTATCTTGTTAGAAGTTTAAAAAATATATGAAATTTTTTGTATGGCCTCCTTACACAACATGGAAGTTTGTATATAATTAAGTTTCAAGTTTTTTTTTTGCATTTTTACTTTTTTTAAAATATAAATTATGTATTATATGCTATATGAAATACTTTTCATGTTGTTCTTTTTAATATAAATGATATTTCATATGCTACATAAGATATTTTTGTGCTTTTATCTTTTGTGTAAGCAATTTCTCACTCATAAACCACACATTTTTTTTAAAAAAATAAATATACCAAAAAAAACTTGAAACTTTACAAATTTCCATGTTGTGTAAGGAGAAAACATAAAAATTTTCATATTTTTTGAAACTTCTAATGGAATAAATTAATTGTTAACCTTGTATGTCTCTAAGGGCATTTTGGTTTTTTTTTTAAAAAAAAACTAGCCCAATGACATACTCCATCCTTCCAAAAGTCTAATACCTATTTTATTTTATATATGGTTTTTCCAAAAGTCTAAGTCTTATTTGCAGTTATTATGTGCTATATTAATTTTTTTATTGGAATCCAAGAAACCATTTTAGTCCTTATTGGTTAATATTCGATTTTGTCACACGATGAATGAATTAATTACTCCTTGGCCTTGATGCAAAAAGAAATAGAACTTAGACTTTTGTATGGAGGGAGTATTGCAGAACGATTGGTAAAATCACCATTATATCATAGAAAGAGATAATGTTAGTGGCAAATCGTTAAACTAAAATAAACTCAGTGGTATAGAGTAGATTCTACCAATTAAAAAGGGACTCTCGGTGCATAGCCATCACTCAACTATTCTCCAAGCAGCAGAAAAGCAAGAGAGATTAAGGGGGTATTTAGATTCAGGGGTGTAAAATTTTAGCGTGTCACGTAGCGTATTATATATAGGGTGTCGCATGAGTTGTTCGGACACTAATTAAGAAAAAACTAATTACAAAATCCGTTAGTAAACCGCGAGATGAATTTATTAAGCCTAATTAATCTGTCATTAGCAAATATTTACTGTAGCACCATATTGTCAAATCGTGGAGCAATTAGTCTTAAAAGATTCATCTCGCAAATTAATCGTAATCTATGCAATTAGTTTTTTTTAGCCTATATTCAATA